TGGACTTATACAGATGGGTCATATTCTCAAATTTCCTAATATGGCATGATGCAATGCACAAATTAAATACAATGTATTGCTGGATCCACATATTCTGATTTATTCATAATGTAAATATGCACATAGCATTTATAGCCCAAAATTGTAATGTTGGAGAAAAATTCTGTAAACATAGTCAATTTTCCTGTATTATCTAGCTGACCATCTTAATTTAATTTTTTCATAATACATGTATATGATCTGTTTTGCAATATAAAATTGGCTGAATGTTGGAATAAATTGAGAGTATAAAACTTAACTTTTCAAAGCTGATAAATGATGATAAATATGATAAATTTGGTGGTGACTGTTTAACTGAAGTAAATAAACCATCACATTGTGTGTTCAGTGGAAACTGCAGGGTAGGTGCACCATCTTACCTGACTGGGGCCTTGTCACCATCTGTGACACGGGGGGGGGGGGGGGGGGGGGGGGCACTAGCCCCAGGCATGTTCTGAGAAAGATGTGAAAGAGTGTAACCGTGCATGTCTTTAGAGCATAATGTTAAAAGATTGAGAAAACATATGAGGCACGTACAAGTGCTTTAAAAAATAAGGATGCCTTTCATATTTCTTTTTTTTTTTTTTTAACTTTTAGGTGAGTTATTTGTATGCTTGTGTATTTTTAAATCATTTTTCATCACCAATTCTTTAATTCTATGTTGCAGTGGATTACAGTATATTATAATCATCTCTGTATTTTGTTTTGCTTAAGATGTTAGGATAATTTAAAAAGAAAAAAAATTAAGTTAATAAATCCTTAAATTATCTGACAAACCCATTAAAAATAGACGTTTACATGTATAAATGTATTGTCATTGAAGTCTGCAATTCTTGAGAATTGGGAAAGTCATTGTCAAAAATTGGAATAGAAAAAGCCACCTGGATCCAGAAATTTGCTTGATGTTTTACTATATTAGATACACGGACCAAAAGTATTTAGAACATTTTCATTGCAATATGATCCGAAGATACTGATGATCATGCAGTTTCCATGGTGAATAGTAATTAATGCATTATACATGTAATATGTGGTAGAAGTTAATTTCCTAGCTGAGAAATAATTCTTAAGTCTCACAAGGAGCTTACCCATGAATGAAGCATACAATTTTATCAGATTCACTTTTGTCTGTATAAGCTTTTTAGTCAATCTTTGACAATCCACAGCTATATTTTTGAAATTCCTTAAAATATTAACAAGAAGGATTTTATCATGCATATCATGGCTGTGTGTGGATTAGTTTTTAGTGCCTCGATCCTTAAAATATCAGATATTTGGAGTTTTCCCTACATAAGAATTTTTATGGTTTTATATCTTGCTGTTACATGTTTATATACTCCAACATTTGTTTATCTCTATTTATTGTACTTAGTCTACCATATTCAAGGAATAAATGTAATGAAATTGAAGAGACTTGAATGCCTGGCCATTAAACATTCATGTATATTTGTTTGTGTAGGTGATGTTGATTGGTGACAGTGGAGTGGGAAAGACCTGCCTATTGGTCCGGTTCAAAGATGGGGCCTTCCTATCTGGTAGTTTTATCTCAACAGTTGGTATAGACTTCAGGGTGAGTGATGGACCTTTATAAGCAATAAAGAAAACTTACAAAAGACCTAGCCCTACAAATAAAACTTTTATTACTCGTATTATCAGATAAACTTTTAGTGTGTAGTATAAAAATTGCAGTTATGTATTAGGAGATCATGTGGTAATATTGGCCAATTTGTAAGCAATTACCTCACTGTAAATGTTGCTATAAATTAAGCTTGTATTCTAAAAGATACAACAGGAGAATGAGTTCTTCAAGTTATATAAATGGTATTTTCTATTTTAGATCAAGTTAAAGAATTTTAAAATTTTTTAAGGAAAACAATTATCCTCTTTAGACTTAAGTAAATTTAGTTATGTACATTCATGTGTAAATGTAGTTATTGCCAATTTAGCAATATACATAGAGAAAGTAAAGACAATTAAGATAAAATATTTGGCACATTAAAAAAAGTAAGAAATACCAATTAGAAGGCTTGGCTTTTGATCTTGAGATTAACATGAAACATGTTTAGGTCTATCAAGGATGAACAAATACTAGGCTAATATGATTATGTCATCTTGAAACTTTACAGTGTTTGTGTTTATATATTCAATAAGTTCAGTCTGTCATTGTGAAAGTAACTTTTTATTCCAGCTACAGTGCCTCCTGTAGTAATGGAGTAAATGTTTCTATGAAATTTGTTGGTAAACTCAAGTGAGAAGAACTGTTATAACTTTGATCAGAGAGTTGTACCATACACAGCAAAACTTTTCAGCAAAATGTTCTGTGGAATAAAGAAAAATGACATCTTGGAATTACCAATATCCCTGGCCAATAGAAAGCTTGGGGAAAGAAAAGGGTGTACATTACAGCAAAATATGTTGACAAGCTAAAAATTCTTCTTGGTAAATAAAATAATTTCCTGAAATAGCAATTATTTTTGAAGGAGAGAGATATCTTATGTATAAAAAGACTCTTCATCTTTTCAGTATGTGGAACAAATTGTTTGGAGGTGCCATCCAGCTCCTTGTCTCTTTAACTTCCAATGTATCTGGGAGCAACAACAGAGCTGCATGCACTTTAATTTATTCATAAAAATCTTCTTCTCAGTATAAGGAATATGTTTGCCAATGTCACCCAATTCCATGTATATGATATTCTTCAACAATACAAGTATTCAGTGTGACCAGTATTTTTGAAGACTATCATACAAACCCATTATTTATTATTATTGAAAAATTTCACTTAAAGAGACGTTTAAAGAAGAATTTGGAGTATAGAGGTCAAAGTTTCATTCAAGTAAATGAAACAAATTGAGACAATTTGATATCATGCATATTCATTTTTATTGTTTTAATTAAAAACAATTTATAAACTAGAAACATACGGGGCATAACACTCAAATGAGTTTTACATTTTTTTTTCTTGACGAATGTGTTCATGAAACCCCTTATTGATGCCATAGACCTTAACACAAGTCTTCAACAATTTGAAAATATGGTTTACGAATATTGATGTCATGTAAAAAAAAAGGTAGCCTTGTTTTTACTGAGATAGTCTTATATTACTCTGTAAAACTGAGATCTTTTATTGTGGCCCCACCCTAAACACAGGGACCATGATTTAAACATTTCAATAAATGAGTACACGATGCTGATGAACAGCCCAAATGACACAATGAAGGCTTAAAGTTAGCTGCAATAATGTAGCCCTCTTTTTTATGCCCCGGGATCGAAAGATCCCGGGGGTATATTGTTTTTGATCTGTCTGTATTTTTGTCTGTTTGTCTGTCTGTCTGTTGTCAACTTTAACCTAGCCCATAACTATTGCGCTGTCAAGGGTAAGGCTTTAATATTTGACATGTGTTCATTATCACAAGACCTTTCCATTGGTAGAGAAAGTTTTGATCATGTGACCTCAACTGTGACCTTTGACCTACATTTGAAAAACTTTAACATTGGCCATAACTATTGCACTGCAGTATACGTCCCACTCCAGAAATGTGTTACCATCAGGGGCATAGTGTTTCACAAACACATCTTGTTTTTTATTTTTTTTTTTTTTGGGGGGGGGGGGAGAGAGAGAGAGAGAGGGCTTCAACTCCTTAGGATCTCCGTTATGGTGCAAGTGCGGGAGTGATTCACTCCCGCACTGATTTCGACTCAAATTTTCAGTAAGTGGCAATTTATTAACATATCTTACCTGAACTCATAAAATGTAGTTATGCAAGACATGAATTTATCAAAAAATATACAGAACAATCCATATATCGGTTATTTTTCGTGTAAGTCAACATTGCAACTTGAACTTATCCGCCATGTTCACTGACCTTGATCGATTTTATTTTGGGACAACCAATGAGAATTCGGGATCTAGGGAGCGGATCTTTTAGGATGTCCCATATTTTAAGCATTATGAAAAAAAGATCACATGGAATGTTTTTATTTTTCGATGGTTAGTGATACCATACAACACAAAAATTTATCAACACCGAATTTACTATATCAAGTGATTCTAAATTTCAATGCAAGCTAGTCTCATTACATCACGCAAGAATTGTCATGGCTGCTGAGGAGAACGATCCATTCGGCAAACCTCGGCTGATTCCGTCACCTTCATCAAACGATGAGGTACGAATCGGCCGAGGTGTGCCGAGTGGAGAACGCTCGGTAAACACTCAGATTTATTTTACATGGTTTTCGCGTATAAAGGGCTATGTTGTTGACAGTGAATCAAATTTCCGTCTTATTGGAAGTAAGTTGAATGTAAAAACTTTTTTTTTGCCTGCAGTCGGCCGTATCTAAAAAATATATTTGCACCATTACGGAGATGCAGTGGAATTGTAGCCCTCTCCTGAAAATATCAGATAAAAAAATCGGAGAGGGCTACTTTGTTGCAGCTAGCTTAAAGTAAGTCGCACTAGGTCCCCTGCGAAATCCATCATGGCGGGTATCTGAAAGCCTTGTTGTTTTCATATTATAGAAGGACAGACCTATTTAGACTTGTAATTTCGCCTTTTACAAATTTGGATGGGGAACGCCTATACCCAAAGATACATTGTTTGAGGAAGCTTTCAATGCATTTTATATACATTTAGCTAGTGACCCTCTTTTTTTCTTAAAAAAAGGTTTGAAAAAGATTTTCCCCGGCTATATTATCCAATATAAAAATTTAGTCTTCCTTTTTGTTGACCCACCAAACCCTGGGGATTCCATTCTTCAGAAGGTTTTTAAATGGTCTCATCGAATTTTTTTTTATTTCCTTAAATCCTATTATCTCCCCTTTATATGGGACTTTGCCTGTCATTTGAACAAACTTGAGTCTTTGCTCAGGTGAGCTAAATTTATCTAATGAAGTGGCGTTCCAAAGGAAATGGGATAATAATTTACTATTTTTTTTTTTATAAACTTTGTTTTTAATTTTACAGAATAAAGTGGTTGATGTTGATGGGACAAAGGTTAAATTACAGGTCAGTTATTTTAGAATTCTTATTATGAGGGCTCTACAGTTACAATGAATTGATTTCTGTTTTGGATGTATAAACCCGGATTATTAACGAACTATCATGTCGGTCTCCTGTCACACTTCTGTGTGAATTGTTGAAATTAAGGTACCACGTAATATCACAATAAACGCACATTTATCTCCGTAAATGGCAATTCCCTTGGGTAGATTTGCCTAAAACTAATACTGTGCATATTTTTAAAATTACGTACATGTGTATTACATGTATTGGATTTTTCAGTGAATTTCGCACACTGTAAATAGAATAATTTCAAAAGGGAGAGAATGCATACTCATGATGAAGATTTGATTATATTTAATGCTCGTAAAGAAAAAAAAATCTTGCACTTCCTAACAGTAAAAATTAAAAATTTTATATGACAACGGTGACGATAGCCCCTTATGTCAAATAATGGAAATCGGTTATAATTTAGAGGTGTGTTGGTCCTAATTTGATCATGAAATCCAGAGGGAGAAAATCCCTCTATCACTCTTAAGTAATGGTATAGGAAGATAAATTTTGAGATTTAACTTTATTGTGCCTGTGTAATTTACTCAAATTGCGTCGATGTGAAGGTGACTATTTGATGAAATGTTTTCTGAAATCTTTTTGTTAGAGGTTGCATGTCAGTGATGCTTTGTAGGATTACACCCGCACTCTCATTTCAAGTAAAGAGATGTGTTTGTTGAATATGAGTTTGTTGCAGATTTGGGACACGGCAGGCCAAGAGAGGTTCCGAAGTATAACACGTGCATATTATAGAGATGCTAATGGTAGGTTACGTTAGAACTGCATTAAAAGTTCAAGGCCATTCACTGAAGTTTGATCCAAGAAGGAAAAAGGTCTTTATCAAAATTCCAGTGAAGATATTTTCCTAGAAAATTAAATACAGTAGAACATATAAAATGCTTTGTATCTACTATACCCTCATCTATTTCTTTTAAGGTGTTTTCTAATGATATTTAATTGAAACAGTGTGTCAGTGGCAGTCATTGTTAGAAAAAAATAATTAGACCTACTTCCCTTGGTTATCAAGCTGATATTTGAATGATCTTGTACAATATGGCGGACGTTGATATTACATACCAAAATGTTATTCCAGATTTGGGACACGGCTGGTCAAGAAAGATTTCGCAGCGTTACGCATGCATATTACAGGGATGCTCATGGTACTTATAAGGTGTTGTAACACATCTTAGAAGTGGTCAAATAATATCGCTGCTATTTTGATTACTTCTTACTGATGTTGAATGTCGTGGAGAAAATGTCGTTTTAGTATTCTGTAAAGAAGGTGGGCGCATTTAGCGCCTAATCTGCAGGAATCGTGTGTACGAATCAGTCACGGTGTAAATTTCCAGTCAAGCTGACCACATCTGAACAAGAAAGTTCATGTACGAAAGTCATGCATATAGAATAATGTTACACTACAATGGAATACAACGTCAAAGACTTCCTATCTTACCATATACGATATCATTGTATCATTTTACAGAATTAGTTAACTGCTATAAAATAATATGGTATAGATAAAATTTCCGTTGGTTGAAATAGTTTGATTTTGCTTTTGACTGCAACACAATTAAAATGAAACTTTGCTTAAAAAATTATTGATTCAATTAAATAATGCTGACAAACGACTTACACGGGGCTATTAAATTGTTAAAAATACATGCTCCTGGCGGGGATCAATTTTAAAAAAATGTCGAAACAGGTAATATACCGGTCTTACTAAGCACAGTATGCTAGGGAAACATAATATTTCTTACCTACTTATGACACCTCTTACTAAGGACACGTTGCTTTAAAAGGCACTAAATGTTTTCGTAAATTGCACTTAAGTATTTTATATCAAATGTAAGTAATACTTAGAGTACTTAAGTATAAAATGTATATACATATAACGAGAGTGATTTTTTTTTTATAAACTTTAGTACATACTAATATATATTTGAGATGTTTATGAATTCCTGGCCTTGATATATCATTAGAATGCTACAAGTCACATGTATTAATTGAAGGATGAATAAAATCTTCACTTTTCAAGTGCGCCCAGATTCCTGCCAAATCCATATCAAGTGCGCCCACATTCTTTGTTTTTTATTTACGAATGAAAAACTGTGTTGCCATGCATGTTGAAAATGGGCAGCTTTTGAAATGTTATTTTCACTCTAGAAATATCTATTATGTCCTACCTATTTAGTGATATGAAGAAATAATCAGAACTTGATATCACTATAAGGTCGATATTTTTGCTCTTGCACTGCTAATAGTTCTTTTTTTAAGATCAAACATCTACTGCATTGTGTATGTATATTATGTACATTTTATAGATGTTTATTGTTCACTCACATTTAAAAAGAAATTTTAAATGTAATGTTTAATTCATGTTTTAATGTAGAATATTTTTGGTAGCAATTTCTAACTGGCACTGAATTGCCTGTTACCAGGATGCATTGAGAATGAGAAAAAGAAAATAATGTACACTTTTATAATGCTTTGGAATTTTTTGTCCTGGTTTTCATAACTGGCAATTATACATAATAGGTATACATGCAGTTCTACAGTAACGATAAGACGTAAGGCAATTTGAAAGCAAAGAAATTGCTTTCAAATGATTATGTAAAGTAACAAATCACCAACTGGAGCCAATTCCCAACACACAGTAATAAAATATTAAGAATTTAAACCCCTTTTTCGGGATTTTTTTAAAGACTAAGTTCCAGCTAACTTTGCATAATGAACAACTGCTTATTTTCCCTTTCTTTGTCAAATTGTTATTTTCCATTAAGAAATTACGCATACATATTTTATGAATTTGAAGTAAGATGCACCTGTGCATGTAAAGGAAGTACACTGCACTTGTTCAATATTATTTATATATCGTGCAGGATGTGCTAGCAGTATTTGTTACTCTTGTAAATTTTATGTTAAGTTTATTTAAAAAAAACATCTATATTTCCACCATTAAATGGATTTCGCTTTCCTTTCAGCATTGCTTCTTCTTTATGATGTATCCAATAAGGCTAGTTTCGACAACATACGAGTAAGCATATACTTAAAAAAAAAAATTTTTACTCTGAGTAAACTGAATAAAATTTACACTCTGTATATTGTTCATGTTAGTATGTGGCTCGACGAGGTAAGAGATGCATTCCATTTAATTAGGGAAAAAACTGAATTTTGTATTGTACATACATTTAGGCGTGGCTTGGTGAAATAAACGAGTATGCTCAGGAAGATGTAGTTATCATGTTACTGGGTAATAAGGCTGATATGACAACAGAAAGAGTTATAAGAACAGAGGACGGAGAGCGATTAGCTAATGTAAGTTTTATATTACTTGGTATTCAGTTCTTTTACCATATAGTGATGTTAAAGCACATTTCTGAAGTAAAATGAAAATTCAGAAAAGTAATGGGCCTCACCTGTATACAGTTGTAACTTATATGCAGTAATTTGATTTTTAAAAAGAAACATCTTTCTTTTTAGCTCACCTCGACGAAGTCGAGATGAGCTTATGCTATACCCCCGGCGTCGGCGTCGGCGTCGGTGTCGGCGTCGGCGTTAGCGTCGGCGTCCCAGGTTAAAGTTTTAGGAGCAAGTCCCATTCCCAAGTAACTATAAGCCCTTCCTGGATCAAACTTGCATGGATGATGCATCTAGGGATGGACACTACCAAACTTGCTTCGGATGCTGGATCTGACCTAGATTTTCCAGATGAGTGACCAGGTTAAAGTTTTAGGAGCAGGTCCATTCCCAAGTAACTATAAGCCCTACCTGGACCAAACTTGCATGGATGATGCATCTAGGGATGGACACTACCACACTTGCTTCGGATGCTGGATCTGACCTAGATTTCCGGATGAGTGACCAGGTTAAAGTTTTAGGAGCAGGTCCCATTCCCAAGTAACTATAAGCCCTACCTGGATCAAACTTGCATGGATGATGCATCTAGGGATGGACACTACCACACTTGCTTCGGATGCTGGATCTGACCTAGATTTTCTGGATGAGTGACCAGGTTAAAGTTTTAGGAGCAGGTCCCATTCCCAAGTAACTATAAGCCCTACCTGGACCAAACTTGCATGGATGATGCATCTAGGGATGGACACTACCACACTTGCTTCGGATGCTGGATCTGACCTAGATTTTCTGGATGAGTGACCAGGTTAAAGTTTTAGGAGCAGGTCCCATTCCCAAGTAACTATAAGCCTTACCTTGTCCAAACTTGCATGGATGATGCATCTAGGGATGGACACTACCACACTTGCTACGGATGCTGGATCTGACCTAGATTTTCTGGATGAGTGACCAGATTAAAGTTTTAGGAGCAGGTCCATTCCCAAGTAACTATAAGCCCTACCTTGACAAAACTTGCATGGATGATGCATCTAGGGATGGACATGGCCACACTTCCTTCGGATGCTGGATCTGACCTAGATTTTCTGGATGAGTGACCAGGTTAAAGTTTTAGGAGCAGGTCCCATTCCCAAGTAACTATAAGCCTACCTGGACCAAACTTGCATGGATGATGCATCTAGGGATGGACACTACCACACTTGCTTCGGATGCTGGATCTGACCTAGATTTTCCAGATGAGTGACCAGGTTTAGATTTAGGAGTAGTCTCGTTCCCAAGTAACTATAAGCCCTACCTGGACCAAACTTTCATGGATGATGCATCTAGGGATGTACACTAACCAACCTGCTTTGAATGCTGGATCTGACCTAGATTTTCCACATGAGTGAATTTTAGCCATATTTTAACCAAATTAGCATGGATGATGTATCTAGGGATGGACACTTCCAGACTTGTCTTGGATTCTGAATCTGACGTACATTTTCCAGATGAATGACCAGGGTAATTTTTTTGGAGTAGCTATATAATATTATGGCCTGTTATGATTAGACTTGCATAGATGGTGCATCTAAGGATGAAAACTTCCAGACTTGCTTTGGATGTTGGAACTGACCAAAATTTTCTTGATTACTAAACAGGTCAAAAGTTTTTTGAGCAGGTCTATAATTAAATCAAACTTGCATGGATATTGATCTTGGGATGTACCCTGACTAGAAAAAAAATATGATGTGAAATTTGCCTTACATGTAGATAACATTCGTCGAGGTGAGCTTCGTAATCTTTGATTACCTATGTTTTTTCTAAGGAATATAACGTTGCCTTTATGGAAACAAGTGCCAAGACTGGAATGAATGTAGATTTAGCATTTATGGCTGTTGCAAAGTAAGTGAAATGGTAATTAAAGCATTGTTAAAAGACTTCTTAACAATTATTAAAAATAATTCAGATTAAACACAAATCATAAAAAATATTTTCTGAATTATCTTGCAATGGTTTAGTTCTTGTTAATTATGTATATGATGCCACCATGCTGACTTAAATAATATACATGTAAAATGATTGGAATAGCTACTCATCAAAGAGAAACACCCTTTCACACCATGCAGAATTGTTTCTGTGATGTGGTCTCAGTTGCTATTTGCTGGTATTTGATGTCTTCCTGAATTGACACCATGCAGAACAGCTTCTTCAATGTTGTACCTGATGATATTTGCATATTCATTCATTTTTTATAAATATCATCCTTGCAGGGATTTAAAGATGAAGAAAACAAGAAAACCGACTGATCCTAAATTCAGTGTAACAGACTATGTCAACCAGGAAAAACAAAGCATAGGATGTTGCAGTAGCTAACCATATATTATGTGCAATAGAATAGGTAATTTTTATCAATTATGAATGATTTGAACCTCGTGCTGCCGTCATTTCCGTGGTTGTACCGATGAAGTCCAAGATTTGTTTTTCATCAAAGATTTAGAGATGGAAATGTTCACATTTAATTTACTGTAAATCTGCTCAATCTGGAAAACATTTTTGTTCTGTATTGATTTTTTTTCCAAACAGTGTTATTTTAAATAGCAATTCATCTTATAAAAGTCCATAATTCATTTTCAAAGCATTTTCGTTTTGAATACATATGATCAACATGCCTCAACCATTCAGCAAGTTTCATCATATGAAAATGGGTTCGCATCTTACTAATATCTATACAAAAGGGATTTTGACAACAGGATTAGTGAATTTGTTTATATTCACTTACGGTAGAATCGTACAACATCTTTTTTTTAATTTTATGAAAGACAAATGCATCTCAGTTACATGAATGAAAAATATCTGAAGAATAATCTTTGCATCAGCATGGACTGGATTAAAAATGTAATTTTCAAATGTTCATGTTCAGATTTGTTAGGTTTGAAATATTATTACAAACTGCCATTATTCGCTTTCAAAGGGCATCTCTTACGGACCAGAACAAAATGCCCTCTTAGAGAACCTGATTTGACGATTTTTTATTCTGAATTGTCAGGGAACTCTGTTCTAATTGTATAAAAATATAAAAACCACAGTTATTGTTCAACTGGCTTATATAGACACTGTTTGCACGTGTGTGCTCTAGAAATTTAATTCAAATGAATTTTTTCAATTACTAGTATATATATTCTATTTCTTTATGTTTTATATATGAAAGTTTTTTGTTCGTTTTTTTTTAGAAACGACAAATTTCATATGAAATAGGAAAATGTGATCTGTTGTGAAATCCTTATTTTTTTTATACACGTTTATAATTTGTTTTGCATTGGTCTTCATTTTGATTGTCTGATATGTTAGAGTAACTAATTTTAGTTTTTAAAGTATATTAGATATTATCAATAAGGTATAGTGGATGTAGGAAAATTAGTAAATGATTTTGTATATGTAGAAGGGTATGGTAGTAGGTTTTTCTTTAATACCATCAAGTAAAACATAAAAAAAATGTTAAAATGAATGTGACCCGAGCGATTAATAAATTCCATAATACTTCCATTATTTGGAATACAGGTTTATTCATTTCGGAAATATTGTTGAATAATGGTAAATATTACCTTTCTATACAGTAGTGTACTTGGTGCTCTTTCATCCTTTACTCATATAATTATGATGAAAGATACTACAAATTGTTTTCATTTCACTGCTTGTATTAAAGTTTAGTCAACTTACACTCTACACGTCAAGAATTCCTAATTGTGTGTATGGTATGACGTTGTTTACAGTGAAAGTGTTGTGCTAAGATCTGATATTATTGTTTTAATAAATTGTTACAAGAATTTATTTCATATTTATTGTAGTTGTGTAAGATTATAAACCATTCGATTAATTTGTAATCGGTGTATATTAACATAAAATTTAAAATTAATTTAAGGAAGTTATGCACCGATGTAGCAAATAATTATTATCATATTACGTGGGTTCTTTCTTTACTTCTCACTAAAATATTAACAGCAATGAAGGAGAAACTTCAGTACTGTACAGCAGTATAGAAGTGGTGAAAATCAGATGTGATTACTTAAAAACTCCAAGGAACTTGTAGAAAATTTGAAATCACAAAATTTTACCAAAATCAATAACTCCAAAACGTACGACTTTTCAACACTTTATACAACCATTCCTCACGATAAATTAAAGTCCAGGCTTTTTGACATCATAGCCGCTTTTTCAATAAAAATTGAACTCGTAAATTTACTTACCTTGTCATTGACCATTTTCAAAATTATTTTGTAAAATTTCTGATTGTACACACAAGCACTCTGAAGTAGATATTAAAAAGATGCTCGGGTTTCTGATTGAAAACATATACGTGTTTTGGAGATCAGGCCTTCTAAAAATCTGTCGGAATAAACATGGGTACCAATTACGCCCCGTTATTAGCAGACCTTTTTTGTATTCACATGAAGCAGAATTTATTCAAAAACTTACACATGAGAAGAAGAAGATACTTGCTGTGTCCTTCAGTTGGACATTTAGATATATCGACGACGAATCATCAATTAACAATGGTCACTTTCATTCATATGTCAACTCGATATATCCCAGTAAACTTGAAATAAAAGAATACCACACAGTCTGACGCATTTTTTTTTATATTTTGATATTTTACTAGAAAAAGACGTGAATGACAACCTAACAACGCAACTTTTTGTCAAACATAATGACTTCAACTTTTCCATCGTCAACTTCCCTTACTTATGTAGCAATATATCTATATCACCTGCATATGGGGTTTACATCTTCCAGTTGATTCGATACGTAAGAGTATGCTCCACGTACTAGCAATTCCTGAAAGAGACAAGCTATTGCCAAACAAGTTGATGAAACAAGGTCACCAACAGTCTCGTTTAAAGTCATCACTTTGCAAGTTTTATGCTTATATTGATATCCATGGCCTACTTGTATTATTAATTCTAGAATAAAACATTGATCCATCAGGGAAAAAAAATCATATATTAAGTGTAACATTTCTTGATTAACAAAGCACATTACAAGTTTTTGGGAATATTGAAACAGCACACGTTTTCACAATTCACAATAAATATAAGCATTAGTATGAACAGTTGAGTAGAATGTTCAATTTTTTACAATTGTATATTGTTAATTCTTGACAAGTATATGTAGACAAAGGCAAATAAAATGTATTATAAGCACATATATGTATTATAATTAAATATATATCGTTGAATGATTCATCCTGTGTCGGAAAATTGTGCTTGCACAAACTTATATAACAGCTGAAACCAGCATCAAACAATTTATCATTGAACAGGATTCTCATAATCCCGGATTTAAGTACTATTACTGGAGAAGCTATTGGGGCTTTCTTTACTCCCGCCACCCTCCAAAAGAAAACAAATTACAGATACATTTGCATCTTGCTTTCATTGAAGTTTCGTTGGTTATCTGTCTGTTGGGGATCTTCTCTTTCAAAACAAGATTGACTCAGCTCATGCATCTTGCTATATTTCATATGGTCGGAACTTTGATAAGGTTTCTTGGAATTTTCCAGTATGATAAAATTCTTTTCTTTCTAAAAAAAAATAAAAATAAAAGAATACTCTAACTTGCATAAATTCCTAATATTTTCATTTCTACAATGAAATTATAATGGAGAAAATGGATTTTCACCAGGGTAAATTACATTTTGAATTTACCTGTAAATCGCTGAAGTCATTAAATGTATGCCTAATTAAAGCCAATACGTTTGACACTTCCACTCTTCCGTTTCGCATGGCATTCAACTTCTGGAGGTTATCTAAAGAGAGAATTATATATGAGACACAAAGAAAAGTACATTTAGTAAACTTTTTGTAGGAGTCTTATTTAGATTTAACATTCTATGTTTACCTTTTCCTTCTTTGCTTTGTGAGATGCTGGACTTTGAACTGAACTTGAAAAACATACTGAGAAAATTTTTTGCCGATTTCCAACAAATATCTGAAATTCCAATGGTGTCAACATATTGGGCAGTTTCTGCTTTGACATCTGCAATGCTTTTGTTTAATATAGCAGCAAACATGGTCAATAATGTCATAATCACACAAACCATGTAAGTAAAGTAGTAAAATTGAGCAGTCTTAGGAGCGGCGGCCATAAGGGTATCGAGTTTGTTTTTACCAATAAAAGTATTTGCAAGGGTACTACATGTCGCAAAAACACTTTTATATCCAGGAAGGTGAACACCAAACAAAAAGTATCCAAACAATACGAAAGACGAAAACATAATAATAAACACAACACTAAATCCAGCGATCTCATTTGCGGCATTCGTTACAACAGAAATAATTTCTGTGAATTTCCGGTTGTATCCAAGTATGCGCAAAACTTTTAAAGTAGAAATAAAAACCATAAGAGAAAACAGAGCGTTGAATAAATTGTCCCAAAACACAATGTGTCCAAAGTTTATAAAGCGATTTGTTCCACTTAAAATATCGTCAGAGTACATTTGCATAGCTTTCTTTGCGTCTACATAACGAACAATGTAAATTGCAATGCAGGCAAATCCTAACGACATTACGAGGAAATCCACGATGTTCCAGGGAACTTTGAAAAACTTGCAACAACCCTTTGTGGCACTTTTCACAATTATATGAATAAGATAACCAATTAAGTATGCTATAATCACGATGTAGCATAAAATAGCATATGCTCCAACTTCATCAGATGAAAGTACTGGTCTGAAAGACTGTGTATCTGTCCAAATCAATGTACCTCCTGTTTCCGGATACTCACAAAGAAACATTGCATAGGCAAATAAGTTTAAATTAGGATTGTATATTGTGAACTCCACAAATATTGCTCTTGTAGCCCTATTAATCCAGTAATATTTGATGAGTTCATTCAACATGGCGACAGCTTGCTCTCTGTTTTTAGTAAATTCTAAAATATATCCCCCGCCGCTGTACATGTTATAGTCTCCTAAAATGGAAAGCCCCCAAATGTCTTTTGCATCGGTGTACTTCCAAGCATTTGCAGTAAGGTGATTGCTCTCATAAGCATTGCCACTGCATGCTGTTTTGTTATATGTGTTCCATCCAATGCAAAATGATGACTTTTCTTCATCCAGCTCTGTGTATTTTTCTACACAGTCCCTTGGCCAAGTGATACTCCAAACTTTGCAAATCTCTGTAAATAATACAAAAAATGAAGTTTTCTTTTTTCTAATTGAAATAGACATAATTGCAAATATTCCACTGTTTCGTCAATTTTCTATGTAACCTCTTTTTGCCCGAAGCTGTCTCAGACGAGCAGGACCGACCCGAATACTCGATCTGTCCCCAAACCATTTTTGTTCAACAACTGATAAAGGTTGTCCTCGATAATCATTTTCCGGATAAAAAGTTGGTATGAGTGTTCTGTTGATCCAAGCGATAAAATCTTTAGTTTCATTTACCTAAAAAATATAATTATTTTCCCATATATTCAATTAAAATTAATACTGCACTACTTCCATCTTATTCACAAAAATATACAGTATAAAGGATTGTACATGTATACAGTTTATGTCATCATGCTTTTTACGTACTGCTGAAAATCCAAGCTGGGAACCACTGTTAGCTATTAAATAATTATCCAGATTCCATTTGTAGTTAAAAGAACGAAGATCTCTTTGCAAGTAACTGGCGCTATATAGTACAAAGATATACAAGGCATAGATTAGAATATTGTATGTCGCTTTCCGTGCCCTCTTCTCCTCCTGCCTTTTCTGCCTTAATATTTTCAATTCTTCTTCCGAGGGAGGTTCGTTTTTCTTCAGAATATCATTTATAAGAGCTGAAATTATATTTGAAAACAACAAAATATAATTTTGCAAAGAAAGGTAAGAACCTGCAATAACTTCGATATAATATTCTGAATTAAAAAAAGGTTTTTTTCTTGCGTTTTCAGTAGAACAAAATCGAATGCCCACTCACAATCAAATATTATTTGATAGTCATGAATAAATAAAATTAATTAATCCTGGAAATATTCTATAAACAATAAGTGTATTATTATAATCAGTACAAGTATTGACTTAAATATAGATAATTTAAATCTTTGGTAAAATACATATTTAGGAAAAGTTTTAGATTGGATTTTCAATATACAGGGGAAAGATTAGTTGAAAATTCTTGCATATTTACAGTTGCTCAAAATTTCTTAAAAGCTATATGGATGAAAATCATTTAACGATATTCAAAAAGAATAATCCTACCCAGAAAACTTTGTCTTGAATCGCCATTGTAATGAACCGCAGCTTTTCGCAATTCCTCAATGTCGATCAATGGAGGTTTTTCTTCCTTAATACTCTTGAAGATCGTAGCAAACAACAAAGACACAAATACAACCTTAATAAAAAAAACATTCACGTTAGACCCCATTAACATTCGATAAATATTCTTTGTAATTTATATTACGTATTAATAGTAGATGGTTTTATATATCAATTAATCGCAAAAATCTACCACCAATTCTAAAGAAATTACCCTGACAGGCATCAGAAAAATTCTCCTATAATTTAGAAGTTTGAATAAGTTTTATCTGAAGTTAATAACATATTTTGCAATTTTAAATGAAATTTGCAATTACATACCTTTAAAGGGTCGATAAACAAGAAAGATTCAAGGAAGGAAAGCAGAAAAGAAGTTAACCATTCCTCAGACTTCTGTTTTCCCCACTCCATACTATAAAGTATTAAGAAGAACGAGCTAGCTGCCGCAGCTAAGATTAGAATAACCCATGCAACATACACAGTCCAGAAAGGCAAAATCAAATTACTATCTGCAAACATGATGTCTTCGTTAAGAGCTTGAAGAATACTGTTGGTCTTGGAGTCGATGTGTTGTGCAGGTGTGGAATGCTTCTCTGAATGTCTAGGTTTTGGTAAGTCCTCTCTTCTTTGTTTCTTAAGTTTGCTTTTCCTGAAGGCTATGATTACAAACAAGATGGGCGGTGTTGTAATAACAACACCAATAACCGAAACGTATAAAGTGGAAAGTGAAAACCGAAGAAAGCCTATTTCAACTTGAAATGAAGAGGCATCTTCTGTTGAGGATCTGAAGAACATTGCATTTGAAATCATTATCAACAGAAGAAGAGTCATTAAAGTGGCAAGTCTTTGCACCCGGGTGAAGCGACTTATATTTGGTCTCAGGAGAAGGGAAACCCATAAATGATGATCTGTTACATTTAATTGTGCATTCTCATTCATCAATGTTTTAAAAGAATTCAAGTTTTCCTTCGTGGATACTGGAAGCACTCTTTCAATCATCCCGTCATCTTCATCCAAAGAAAGCCATTTCTCACAAAGGAACACGTATCTAAATTTCAAAAGCAATCTAAAGTCTTTAAAAATTTGTATTTTTGTACTATATTTCTTCAAATTTTTGCTCAGTCACTAATTTCTTTCATTTGTTTTTTCTGTTGTTTTTTTTTTCACCTGTATTTGGAATCATGTACAGATATATGTTGGATTACCTGTCCTTTTCTTGTAGATCATCAACTATAACTCGATTCAGATACCAGCTTTTATTTGTCCCTTCTCCAGAATTATCGTGCCAGATTCGAAGGTATCTCAGGTCTCCTAAAGTTTCTTTAGTACCCATAAAGTATCTATTGATACTTGCTACTCCAAATCCCTATTAATAAGATTCAAATACACGTATTTAAATTACGAAGGAAAAGTTTGAATGAACTGAGCAAAATCTATAAATAAATAACAATTATTTACTTTTCAGGTAAATTCTTGATTTTTTTAAAAATTGTTTTTGTGTACAAGGATCATTTCCAAAAATTAAATACAATACAATGCCAAAACAAGTATTTTCAGCCAATACTTACTGTAAATTAGTGAAATACAGGTGTTTTATTTTCTCTTTGTTCACCATTAAAGAATTTTCCGCGAACATAGAGACATCATCAAATTATATTGGAGATATAGCAATGCAGCACTCATATATAAAATACTTGCTTTGCCCTTTGAAAAGTGTTTTCCTATTCCGTAACAGCAAAACAGTAAATCATAGAAAAATCGGAATATCAAGGTTAATACAATAACAATTACCTGAAAAGTTTCCAATAAATAATTTCCCATAACCATCATTGTTTAAGAAAACTGATTTTAAAATAGTAAATTTTGATTTAAAGCTCAAAACGATCATGAAGTGTACCAAAACAGAAAATCATGAAATTTTAAATGTCTAGTAGTACATTGAATTAAGATGTTTACAATATTATTTGACCTCTCTCACTCCATCAGAAAGTACTCTGATATCAGAGTCGTCCTCATTTCCGACCAACACAAAGTTGACGTTAGATTTCGTTCCTGCTCCCCTTCGCATTCCTGTTTGAATGGTAAGAAGATAGAAATACTTGTCTTCTGCGTCATGGTCCACCAGAAAATATGCAGCCCACTTTCAATGTAAATAAAGAAAAAAATGAATGTAATGTAAATTTCCAACTAATCAACAAGAAAACTACTCATGTAATTACATTATTAATTCAATAACAATGAATATCAATCGCTGTTAAAAGTTGATAGTCATTTGAAATGGCATCATTTTTAGCTCACCTGAGCTGAAAGCTCAAGTGAGCTTTTCTGATCACCCGTTGTCCGTCGTCCGTCCGTCTGTCCGTCCGTCCGTCTGTCCGTCTGTCCGTCCGTCTGTAAACTTTTCACATTTTCAGCTTCTTCTCAAGAACCACTTGGCCAATTTTAACCAAACTTGGTACAAAGTATCCTTGGTTGAAGGGGAGTGTAAATTGTTAAAATAAAGGGCCAAGTCCCCTTACAAGGGGAGATAATCAAGAAAAGACAAAAATAGGGTGGGGTCATTAAAAAATCTTCTTCTCAAGAACCACTGGGCCAGAAAAGCTGAAACTTATGTGGAAGCATCCTGGGATAGTGTAGATTCTAAATTGTTAAAATCATGACCCCCGGGGGTAGGGCGGGGCCACAATAGGGAATCCAAGTTTTACATTGAAATACATAAGAAAAATCTTTAAAAATCTTCTTCTCAAGAACCACTGGGCCAGAAAAGCTGAAACTTATATGGAAGCATCCTGGGATAGTGTAGATTCTAAATTGTTCAAATCATGACCCCCGGGGGTAGGGCGGGGCCACAATTGGGAATCCAAGTTTTACATTGAAATATATAGGAAAAATCTTAAAAAATCTTCTTCTCAAGAACCACTGGGCCAGAAAAGCTGAAACTTATGTGGAAGCATCCTGGGATAGTGTATATTCTAAATTGTTAAAATCATGACCCCCGGGGGTAGGGCGGGGCCACAATAGGGAATCCAAGTTTTACATTGAAATACATAAGAAAAATCTTTAAAAATCTTCTTCTCAAGAACCACTGGGCCAGAAAAGCTGAAACTTATATGGAAGCATCCTGGGATAGTGTAGATTCTAAATTGTTCAAATCATGACCCCCGGGGGTAGGGCGGGGCCACAATTGGGAATCCAAGTTTTACATTGAAATATATAGGAAAAATCTTTAAAAAATCTTCTTCTCAAGAACCACTGGGCCAGAAAAGCTGAAACTTATATGGAAGCATCCTGGGGTAGTGTTGATTCTAAATTGTTCAGATCATGACCCCCGGGGGTAGGGCGGGGCCACAATAGGGAATCCAAGTTTTACATTGAAATACATAAGAAAAATCTTTAAAAATCTTTTTCTCAAGAACCACTGGGCCAGAAAAGCTGAAACTTATATGGAAGCATCCTGGGGTAGTGTACATTATAAATTGTTCAAATCATGACCCCCGGGGGTAGGGCGGGGCCACAATAGGGAATCCAAGTTTTACATTGAAATATATTAAAAAATCTTTAAAAATCTTCTTTTCAAGAACCACTGGACCAATAAAGCTGAAACTATTTGGAAGCATCCTGAGGTAGTGTAGATTCTAAATTGTTCAAATCATGACCCCCAGGGGTAGGGCGGGGCCACAATAGGTATATTAAAAGGGGGAAATCTGGTAAAGAACAGCATGGCCAAAGTTACTCAGGTGAGCGATGTGGCCCATGGGCCTCTTGTTTTTAATCTTTTATTTAGAATACTTACACTTTTTAAGTCCTTTATATCTTCCCTGCGCAAGAAGATGGCTGCAACGACATAAACAACGAAGAGTCCTATTACAAGGCCGTATGCATATGCATTTGTAGCGTCAAATTTTTTGAATACGGTTAAGAAATTAATCATGTTAGGTGGAACATAGAATGTAGTTGAAAATGTGTTTCCACTACAGCGACAGACGGTATCGTTAACACTACTCATTTCCAGAACCTGAAAGAGAAAATGATTAAATGAAAACCCGCGCAAGCGTGTAGAATCATATTTTGCCACTGGTGACAGGAAAAAATTCCAATATCTCTTAAGTACTTTCTGACTATTAATGAGTCATATAACAAAAATAAATAGTTTCAATTGTCATTGGTTCAAAATTCTGCAGTGATTGCAGGTTCAGTATCAGATACACGTTACCGAGTTGTTGTTTTTTTTTTCCATTTCGATTTTTTTTAATTATATCTAATAAGGTTATTCTATTAAGAAAATACCAATTTTTTTGGAATAAAGCAGAAATTCGTAAAACTTTAGAAAATGTGAAAATCTAGAATACATGTACATACAATGCTTTTTATTAACTCTTACATTGTATTTGAGAAAGACATGTTTATTTGTGGCGAAGTGGTTAGGGCGTCTGCTCTAGAGTCGCGGAGTAAGGAGTTGATCCTTACGTCCCGGGTTCGAATCCACTGCGGGACATGGAGGCCGGTCCTTCGGATGAGACCGTATAAACCGAGGTCCCGTGTCGCAGTAGGTGTTGGACGGAAAAGATCCCTCACTGCTCAATGGCCCTGAGTGCCGAGCATACACTGTAGGTATAAATTTGCAGCCCTCCACCGGAAAATGGTGGCGTCTCCATATGAGTGAAAAATTCTCGAGAGGGACGTTAACAACAAACAAACAAACATGTTTATTATTAAACATTACCTCTTTAAATGAAACAACTTTATTTTTACATTGTTGCTTATACATATTACATGTATACTTTGGTTTTTTCCATTTTCATCAAAGACTAAGATCGGGGATATAAGAAACGAATATATGAAAATGTTTAATTCTTTTAAATTTTAATTAATAAATCGATAAATACAACTAATTCTTTCTATTTTTTAAACAAAATATAATCATTATTCAATATATCTATCAAATGTTATAACATTATTTTCATGCCCAGAAAGATTGAAGATTTGTTTGTTTGTTTGTTTGTTTTTTTTTTTCTTCTTTTTTTTTTAATTTTTGTAGTTATTTTTCTTCTAGTTTTTTGCTTTGTTTCATTTTGATTTCTTGTTTAATTGCTTGTTTGCTTTGGTTGTTTTTGTTTTTAAATAATGCTTGATGGAGATTTCCATAAAGAATAAAATCGAGGGCTGACGAAAAGAAAGTACATGTAAGTTTTTAATAGCTATCACATCTTATTTCTTCTATATCACTTAAATCAGGTTTTGATATTCAATATTGATGGTTTATCAAATATTATACAATTGTAAGTTATCAATTTCCTTAAATATTGACAGAAACTTAGATTCACCAAATCGCATTCATGCCCATATTGCCTATTTTGTTGTTTCATATTTGAACGTTCTGTGACAGACGTTTATGACTAACTAACAATTACACTACATCACAAGCGGGATAACTTCAGCATTTCCATCATCAACTCCTACTCTTCAGGTAGTAATAATAAATACACGTATTCCACTAAAATCTGCAAATGGCGCTTGTTTCCAAACATATTCGAGCATGTTCCGAGTCCGATCAAGTTTTAGATCGGGGCATGCTACTGACAAATAGATTGATGTTACAGGGTTTTCAACAATCTCGTGTAATGACAACAGTTTACACATTCTATGGTCGTTATAACAGCCTTGTTTGCAAATACAGTCTATCTATCGTGGAGTCGTATTTTGCCTGACGTGTTTCCAAAAAAAAAACGCTAGGCTTTTGTTTTTATACCAATTTTGACTTCGGATTACTCATTTAACCTCATCAAAACAGAAGGCTCATTAAGAGTGTATCCGATGGACAAGGGACGGTTATTTCTTCTAGGCACCTCCTCTGGTGTTTCCAGGGTCCGTGTCTTTACCCTGTTCACAATTGTATTAATTACATGATCCATGAAACGGATCACTGTTCGTTATATTCAACTTTTTCATGACAGTCAACATCTTAACTATTTCCATAACAAATGTTAGAGACACCTCTTTAAATGTTGTATGCAGCACATCAAAGTGCATACTATCTTTAACTGTCGTGGCCTGAGGTACCGAAGTTGACAAAGCTGAAAAATTTTTACCCCCAGTGTTTCTGCATATGTTATATTTACCTATAAAAGATTCTGTAGGGTAGCTCAGCTCATGCTGCCTCTTTCATAAAGGAAAGTATCTCTACATTTTGATTTTACTGTGCACGGCGATGTTTATTTTTGGAGGATTTACAGCCCTCAATCAATATCAGCCCTCGGATTTTCGGTCCTCTGGCTGGTATTGGTGTCTAAGGCTTATTCAGGATGTTACACGGAAAATAGTTTTCATTATTCTCTATGTATTTACTTCCAATTCTTACCGTACAGCCATCCGAAGACCATGCTCCTTGAGAGTCATTCCATGACCTACACCCTGTGGTAAAAACAACCAAGCTGAAATTTGCTTGTACTGGACTAAACGGCGTTGATGCCGTAGTAGGGGTGGGTGTTGTTTGATTAAGAGGTGCTTCTCGCTTACGCCTCATACTAGTAGGTATAAACCCACTGTAGTCAGGAACTAAAATAACAAGTAAGAAATAAAATTCATGCTTTTCTGATGTATAATTAACGTGAATTTGGATTTTTAAAAAATAACATCATAATTAAGCTCTTATAGCATATGCACACTGATCTACAGATTTTTTTTTCCGTTTCATGACAAGGAGTACACGGCGAATGTGACCAGTCGACCAGGAATGTTTACTCCTCTATGACACCTGATCCCACCTCTGATGTTTTTAGAGGTCTCTGTTTGCTTTGCTCCCGATTTTTATTGTTTCAATGGATTTTGAGCTTGGTTACTATTCGTTATCTCCATATTTCATGCAAAATAGGACACCATAACCAGCTTCATATTACTCTGATACCTTTCGACCCACAATTGAAAAATGAACTCATTATTTAGCAATTCATTGGCATACAAAATAAATTCCAATAACTTTTCAAATATCTCCAGTAGATATTAAAAAAGTCAATGGTTTTAATTCCGTCATTTTTTTCCTCGAACACTCTACGTATGAAGAAGAATAACATTGTGGATGGAACTCATTTCCCAATCCATTTGGGTAAACGTTTTAAAATATGGCTTCATTTTTGAAATGCCACTGTGGTTAAAGAAGTTAACAATGTTAACTTTTTTGAACCAGAACTCTTTTTTTTTCATTTACAATTGCAAGGAGGAGAAGTATCTTTGTAAAAGTCTCTTGAACAAGAACCAATCATTCAAGTCCTGTTTATATATATATATATATATATATATATATATATATATATATATATATATATATATATATATATATATATATATATATATATATATATATATATATATATTAAGAACCTATAGATACTTTAAATAAACAAGTTTTTGAGGTTTTTCCAACTTTTTCTTCCAAGGCTAAAACATGATAGTTATAACTACCTGAAGACATTTTTATCAAGAAATGTATGTAATCTTAGTATATCTGAATATTTTGTGTCACATCATAACTTTTAGCCATAATTGACTAAACAGCTGTAAATGCATGAAATACGAAATATAAAAAAATGCATACCTGTTTCTGGTTTTACTCCAAGGTAGCAGGTACCCTTTGCGCATAAACCTTGTTGGAGGAAAATTTTAAATCCAATGTCTTCCCAGTCGCGCATACCAACCGTTTTAATGAAATCGTAAGATGTTGAAGTTGGATATGTTTCACTACTGACATAAAATGTGTACAGAGTGAAATTAGCAGGGTTATTTATGTCAAATCCGTCCGGATTCATAAACATTATTGCAGCATCATCATCGTTAACGACATCAAAAGTGAAAAAAATCATTTTCTCCGGGTACTCTGGGTTTATGAGCGGTATAAACTTCTGGTATTTAAAGTTGCCATTATTTGCAAGCTTAACGTCAAGTTTAATGTCATCACCAATGTCAAAAGTAGACACTCCCGATGTTAATGCCGAGGCATTTTTTCCATAGATAAATGGGTTCTTTGAGAAGTAGTTTATCTAAAATATTAAGAAAGCAACATCTGAATACTGAAACAACAAGCCAGAGGTCTTCAAAGTCATTTTTACTTGATGTGACATTTTCATTTAAAAAATTATTCACCTTCATAGCGACAATAACGTCAGTGAGCTGCTCAAATGTTCCGTTTGACGGTTGAATTCCCACAAAGTATTCGTCCGTTCTGTTTTCAATGCTGTCAACAGTTATCTTCTCCGTGATAACCGATACAACTGAACTTTCCATAATATGGCGCTCACCAAGAACCATGGTTCTTAAGATGACATTCTGCATTCGTCGCAATATCAACTGCATCATCGGAAAATAATTGCGTGCCTTTAATAATAAGAAAAACAATTTTATCACAACTTGAAATTTTTTTTCACATCACTTCACTTCTGATAAAAAAGAATGTAAAAAATATTTTGTTGTGTAGAGAGAAACATGAACTTCGTATATAAGTTACTAGTATTTTACAAAACATTTACTGTAACGTAATTTATTCTTTTTCGAAGTTTTCTTTCAATAATATTCCAAAGTAAAATAAAAAGATGATAATTTATCAAGACATGTACTTTGTTACATAACCTAATTAAAGTAGTTTAGCAAAAATCTTTCACTGAAATTATTGCAGTTAAAGTCTAGGTCCTACATGGATCATGATGGAATACGAAACTCGATCATGCAGCTTATTGCTATGTCTTTATTTTTAAAGAAATTACTAAATCAACCGACAAATATTGATGGCATTTTTAAAATTAAAATAAACAATATCATCTTATAGGACTACAGTGTGAGTATGTGTAAATGCGTGTGAGTATGTGTGAATGCGTGTGAGTATGTGTGGATCAAGCGTGTGCCTATAATGCCATCTTATGTACTTCCAAAATGAAAAAAAAAGATTATTAAAAAATAAAGCATAGAAGTAATTGATATTAACTATATATATATATATATATATATATATATATATATATATATATATATATATATATATATATATATATATATATATATATATATATATATATATATATATATATATGGCAATCGGACTTTGGCGTGACCACAGGACTTCAGGACTTTGGTGTGACCATCAGACTTTGGAGTTTTACAAACATAATGTAACCTGAAATTACTGAGAGTTTTTTCGGGATTTTTTTTTTTTTTTTTTTTTTTTTTTTTTTTTTTGTGAAATATTAAAAAAAATATATTTATAGTTTGAAATACTTGCTACTTTCTTATTTAATATATAGCTTTCTTGAATAACTTTCCTTTTCTTTGTGTACTTCCGCTCAATTGCTAACGTTCAAAATGAGTGCTCTTGAAAAATGAAAGCCTATTGTCGATGTTTTTTTTTTTTATCAAGGACTTGCAAAACTAGCGATGCTTTTTAAACACTGAGTATTCCACTGTCTATTATTGATTCATTTGGGACAAAATATTGAAAAATGAAAAGAAATTTATCAGAGGGAGAGAGCTGGTAGGACAAGAAATAAATCTCTATTTTTCTACACTTACTGTTGTTCATACTGAGCAAATATGCAAGCCCTCTTTGATTTGTGAATGTTAGTTTCCTAGGCCTACAACATGTAAACTCTTTTCCTTAACTGAATTCTTTGTTTTTAATATTTTGTAACATATAACACAAAGCAGACTGTAAAATACTCGGTATTTCAGAAATATCACCAGATTTAACAATCCCTTACTAATATATACGTTTAATAGGTTTTTCTATTTTCAATAGCAGCAATTTTGAAACAGAAAGTATTTAAGATAAATGGGAGGTATCTATGAAAACTGCATGTATCATAAGAAAGTAGGTGATTTTGTCATTAAATAAAATAGTAACATTAAATTATAGAGTATGTTATTAATTCAACTCTTTGGATAAAAGTAGTATAAAAATTCTCAATTATTTCTTGAAACACTATTTTATATGCCATTACTTAACAGTCAATTTGCAAAACGTTGAATAAATTCAATTAAATTAGAGAATTTTGACTGCTCTTTTGCTAAAAATGAATTATTCAATCGTAAGAAGATCTTGGAGCACTAAGCTATTATATTAATTCCTTTTTAGACAAGAAAATCCCAGAAAGAGACTATAATGTTGTATATGCTGCTGAGGAAGGCTCACACGTGTGCAAGACCTTGGTACACACTTAATCACTCTGTTCACTAACTTTTTAAACAATCTTCTTCTGTAAGTTTTGAAAAGAAAGTGAACCAAAAACAGCAGCATGTAAATAATAAATAAATTTTGTCTAAACTGTCTGTAGAAAAAAAAATCTGTGGGCCTAAGAAAAACATCGACCCTTAGTGATGTATGGCTGACGTGTCGATGGGCCGAGCTTAAACTGACCCAACTGTCTTGTATTCAGTATATGTGTGTGCGTGTGTTTAATTACAATGTAATACTATGTATATATTATATTGTTCGTTGAAGAATGTATTTACTGAATTCAACAAGGTCTTACACAAACGAGAACAAAATGTATTTATTATAAATAAAAAGTACATACCAATAGGACTTGTTTTTCTTGAATAGACCTGTTGTGTTGTCGTACTGCCACCAACATATCTGCCTTGTTGTCTAAATCTGTATAGTCTATAAGCGTGGAGACGTTTACAGCCCACAACAAAGCTTCTTGATGTTTCTGGCGTTCAGCATCTCTTACAAGGATTTCCTTAATATCAGCTTTGATTATCGGTGTGTTGAGATCTTGTAAATGATTTGGGAGCATGACATCAAGTAAACGGTTTATAATCCTATGTATAACTTAAAAAAAGAAAACAAATTAATCAATGCAAATCTTGTTTTAAATCTAAAATTAACAACCCAGCTAAACCAGAGTATATTTATCTATTTATTCTCTACCCCTCCCCATTTAATCGCAGTCATAGTGTAACAAATATTTATTATTTTACGTCATGGTTGAATGAACATTTTTCGTTCAGTTTGGTCTAAGAAATAATTCATAGAATCATCTATCTATATAACAGATTTAAGATTCATTTGGGTATTGTGGAACACTTGACCTTGACTATCTTCGGAATTAAATAAATGTATTCCCATCATTTTTAAGTAATGAACAGATCCTTATGGTTCATTTGAGTACCTTTGCATAGACATGTTAATGAAAAATGCATTCATTTTTCATCAAAGCTATACTTGTTTATGTTTTGTTCCAAAGAGCTCGATTCACTTTATCCATAAAATGGCCCTGTCCATAAACCAATGAACTGACCGCTCCGATGTCTCTTTCAAACATCAGTATAATGTATAGGGACTAAGTGCTTTTATTTCCTATAAAAAGTTTCCTCTGAGAGTGAATGTATTGAAAAATAGGTATATGAAATTGCAGTATTCTTGAATTCTGAGGAAAATGGGTGTATTTGAGCACCATCAGCAAAGAATTAAATCTCCATAAATAAATAAATTAATTAATTAATTAAAAGATGGATTATGATCCTCTGAAACAGTTCTTTTATTATATAATGGAATATTTTTGATGAAAAGTTTGGGTCTATGCAAAATATTGAAAAACAATTCAAATTTTAGCTTTTATCAAGAATTTTTCAGGATTTGGGGATAATGATGCAACTCATGACGTCATAATACATGGACTACGAGAAAATTACGCCATAAATAAATATGAAGTCACTAAGGGTCCAAGTGAATATTTAATGTATTTTCAACTAAAAATGAAAAGCTTTGATTTTTCAGAAATATTCACAGGGCCAAAAAAGGCTAAGTGAACCTTGTTCTTTAGAAAAATTATCAACTGTGCGAACTCGAAATCATTAATATAGTTAAGATATTACAGTGTAATTAATGAGTCAAAATTAAAGAATATATAAGTTTCGCAAACAACAGAAAAACACAGGTAAATTTCTTCCTTTTAAATCAATAAACCAAACTTTATCTATGCATGAAATTGGATCCGCTAATACATTTGCAAAGAGTTTGAAAAGGTAGCATTTGACTTTGAATTATTAATGTATGCTTTCTAAACTTGATGAAACCGAATCACACATTGGCATTTGTAGAGAAAAGACATCACGTTATTTATAGATTTTAAAAATAAGTGTTATGCACTTGGGACTTTGTTTTAAAATGCTTTAAACGATAGATTGATTCGTAATAGAGTAAACACAAATTAATGGGCATATATTTGACATTACATAAGAATTCAAATTAAACTTCGATTGTTCCTCACAAATAAATTCCTAATGAATAATAAAATGTGGTAATCAAGATGCTTTATAGTTACGACTATCCATTCATTTATTTGAAAAAAAATTGTCAATAACATCTCTAAACACAATGGCATGTTCACTTGTTCATGTACTCGAGTATTGATTTAAATTTGAATCAATCTTTGATGTGCTTTTTTTTTAATTGGAGGATTTTTCTGGATTTCTTGTCAATACGGTCAATGATTTAAATGGGGCGCTATTGCTTTAGAAATAAAAACTAATAAAATACTTACATGTAGAACCTACGAGAGATATAGCTTACGCTTTATAATCAATGCTGTGTTATGTAAACTACTGTATATTTTTTTGTACAACATTTTTTTTGAAATGGAAGGAAAGCAATGAAATAAAAAAAGAATTAAATGAAACGAAAATTGGTACATTCTCAAGTTCTACATGTATACGGATTTTTCTCTTCTATCCTTAATGTCGATATTCATTTTGTCTTTCTTAATGCATTATTCTACTTTGTAAATAAAATGACCAACTCATACATGTACAGAGAATGACAGAATTACAGATTTCCCCCTCGGTTTATTGTGCAGTAGAAACCAACCTTTAGCGATCTCATTAGTCGTCTCAACATTTCCAACTGGAAATGGGTCGAAATCGGTAACTTTGTCAAAGCATATAACGAGGTTGTCAAGAAGCTGAGTCATATTTTTCTGTAAAATTTCAATAACTTTGTAAGAAAATATGTTAACCCCTTTTCGTCACTGAAAATAAAAATTCAATATACATGGACCAGTATTATTTCTACTGAAGTGCTTCTTCCATGCATTTTGAAATATTAACGATTAGTTGTTCGTGAATCATATGTGATTTAGTACAAAATTAAAAAAAAAAAGAAGAAAAATCAATGTAATAGTGATTAGCGGTAATTACTTCCATGATTAAGTTAAAATGCAGCAGATAATAGAGAATTAAAAAGATTATACAGACAAAACATACCACAATATCAAAGGTAATGTATGGCTGAATTCGTGTTATGGCGTCAACAGTGGAGAATATCTGCTGTAAGTCAGCCAAACTATATCTGTATCTATTGGAACTGCAGTGCACGTTAAGGTCGAATCGCAATAAACCCAACATTTCAGCTATAAACTATAGAAAACAAGGGAAGTCAAAATTAGAAGTAACATCATTTGCACCAAATTTGAAGTACAGTAATTACAAGTCATGTAAAAAGGAGATTTTTAACATCTTATCTAAGTTAATAATACATTTACTTCATTTTCACTAAATTTATTTGAAAAAAAGATAATCTTGAATATAAGATACTTACATATTGAATTTCATATGTTTGTTTCTAAATTGATATTGAAAACAGTTTAAGATCTTGGTAAAGAAATAAACAATAGCACATTGTTATCATGTTACATTTTGGTAGAGTTTCACAATTTCTAACTGGTCGTTGTCAATATAAGCTGTTTGCACGGCTCCAGTCATTATCTCGTGTTGAGTAGTTGTGGTATCCACCTACAGATATGTTGAAAGTTAAAATACAAAATTTTACCGTTTATCCTTATAGATCCTGAACGAAAAGAAAGGTACGAAGCTCTCAAGTCATCTGAGTATCATGAAATCATTTTTAAAGCTTGGACAAACTCAGCTGCACCCAGACCTAGACCTGTGGTCCCAAATGACATGGATCGGCTTAAGATTCTTAAATCATTGTCATATCGTACGAAATTCGCCTCTTAGATATGCAGGCCTAAAGAAGAATTCTATAGATTTAATACTTTCTAAATATAACATCAATCCTAGAAACACATATTCACAATTGGTTTTAGAACTCATACCTCTTTGAGCTACCCTTCTGGCTTAAATATTGATCCCAGTGCTCAGAGAATGAATTTCAAAATAAGTTACTGTAGATTAACTTCCTGTAATAAATTTGCTTAAAGTTTTATCATTTAATGTTCAGGAATTAACAATATTTTCTGCATTGATTTGATTTTTTGGTCCCATCAATCAAACCGCAGGGAAGGGAACATTGCAGTTCTGATTTCCCTTTATCCATGGATACCATACACAAAAATTGGTTGAAATTTGGTCACTCGTGTACATTTCGAAATGAAACTAAAACTCTTCAAATATTTTCGAAGAACGCACGACAATGTACAAGAACAAATAGCAAAGGTTATTAAATAATTCTAAAAAGGTGAAAACATTCTTGTTTGCGAAATATTTTGTACAATTTTCATTACAGTGACATAGATACTCAATAACAGGTTTTTTCCATTAACGACATTTCAATAAACAGATAAACCTATATTTACGTTCGAGAAATTTTTAAAGGTTGACGCGGTTGACCCAAGCAGACGTATTGCAGACATTTCATTTCCACTCAGCTTGCGCTCATTGTACTTCGTCAAGGACTCGTTGCGCAAGTTTCTAACGATTGAATGGCTATTTTCTGTACTAGGTTGTGTTCCACTTGGTGGGGGAATCTGAACGTAAAATAAAACAAAATAGAAATGCTGATATGCACATGAAAGTAAATATTAAGTCCATTAAAATATTTATTTAATTAATTTTTTTAAAAAAATGTATCAAAAGCAAAATAAGAGGTCAATTGGCCACAGCGCTCACCTGAGTAACTTTGGCCCTACTGTTCTGCATCAGATTGTTTTCCCAAATATACATGAATCTACACTACCAGAGGATGCGTCCACATAATAATTCATCATACCCTTGATGTTCTTGAGTAGAGAAGTTTTAAAGATTTTTCCCTATGTAATCCCTTCTGTGGCCCCACAGGGACTATGGTCTAAACAAATAACTAGAACTGTCCAAAAGGGACAAATTACCCCCCCCCCCTCCTGGGTTTTTCAGAGAAGGTACCAAATCACTAATGTTTTCTAGATGTGAGAGGTGTTCACAATTTGCTGAAACATTTAGTCAAAATTTAATTACTCATTATATTTTTTTTAATGAGTAACTAAGGCGCAGCCTAATTAAACATCAATATTAATAATTACAGTAATTTTTATAACATTGAAAAAATAGTTTGCTACTATCTGTCATCTTTGTGAGACATGAAAAAAAAATCATAATTAATTATACAAAATCAAATTGATCTTAATACCTTTATATCAAACTCATTTTAAAAATAAAAGGCTGGTTAAGTAACTATATATTTTGACGGACATAAATTACAATTAAGAGACTTAGAGAACAGAGATCTTTATTTCTTTCTGCCCAATTCCCAGGAGATATAGATAAGACCTGCTTGATCATAGATGCCCTAACAGCTTCCCATACTGAACTCATTAATTAATCTTTAACTGGATGCATGTCCACTCATTACTCCCAAGGGACAAATGGATTTACACTATCTGCTGTGTAATGTACAAAATGTTTTTAATACTTTGTGATTTTTTTTTAGTTCTAATGAGTAGTTTTAAGCTGTAGTTCACACTTTTGTACAGATGTTCTAGATTCTATGTCTCAAACCTTAGACATGAACCCGAAATGATTAAGTCAATAAAAATGAAAAAAAAAAACACCTGTAAAATGCAGAAAAATTATCAAATAATGTTGAAAATACAAGGTGCACATCTTCATATGGTAAATAATAAGTGTACAAATTTTCATACAAATCTATGCAATAGTCTCCGGACAGATCCGGACAAAACCACATAATAAAAATGAAAAAAAAAACCCGTGAAATTCAAAAATATGATCCAATCATGATGAAAATACCAGGTGCATACCTTCATATTGGAAATAATAAGTGTACAAATTTTCAGACAAATCCTTGCAACAGTTTCCAAGAAATGGTCCGGACAAAATCTCGTCTACAGACAGACGGACAGACAGACGGACAAGCTGATTCCAATATACCCCCCCCCTAAACTTCATTTGCGGGGGGGGGGGGGGGTATAATAACAATTTACACTACCTCAGGAAGCTTCCACCTAAGTGTCAGCTTTTTTGGTCAAGGAGTTCTTGAGATGGAGGTTTTTTAAAGATTTTTCCTATAGATTTCAATGAAATGATTCCCTATTATGGTCCAACCTATCCCCAGGGGCCATTATGCAAAAAAAGTAAAACCTACACTTCCTTAAGAAGTTTCCACATAAGGTTCAGCTTATCTGCTCTAGTGGTTCTTGAGAAAAAGATTTTATTAAAGTTTTTTTTAATATATTTAATGTAAAACTTTGATTCCCTATTGTGACCCCACCAAACCCCCGAGGGCCATTATTTGAATAATCTAAAATCCACACTACCTAAGAGAAATTATAAAAATGTTTAAACTTTTTTTGCTCAGTGGTTCTCGAGAAGAATTTTTTTTGAAGATTTTTCCTTAATATTTCAATGTAAAACTTTGATTCCCTATTGTGACTCCACCCTACCCCCGGGGGCTATTGTTTGAACAATTTAGAATCTACCTTAGGAAGTTTCCACGTAAGTTTAAGCTTTTCTGGTCCAGTGGTTCTTGAAATGAAGAATTGTAATGACCCCATCCTTTTTTGCCTTTTGTTGATTATCTTTCCTTTGTAAGGGAATTGTCCTTCATTTCAACAATTTAGAATCCCCATTACCAAGGGATGCTTTACATTAAATAAGGTTAAAATTGGCCCAGTGGTTCTTGAGAAAAGGTTGAAAATGTGAAAAGTTTACAGAGCAAAGGACGGACGAGTGACAACGTGTGATCAGAAAAAAGCACTTGAGCTTTCAGCTCAGGTGAGCTAAAATATCAAATAAGAATAGATAAAAAGATCAAACGAATAATTTTTATTCTTTTTTATGTTTAGTTAGAAATTTATTAGTCATCTCTCTCAGTAAAGCAACAATTTTTTTGTAATAAGAATTAAAAACGAAAGATTACCACTAATCCCTCTGATTGAACTTCTGTGAAGTCACCGTACAAATCATAGATTTTTACAACAATGTGTACTATATGATTGAAATTGTGGTCGCCAGCCTGTATATACTCCTTGTTTATTGAACTTTCGCCTGTAAAAAAAAAATCAACACAAAACTTACTGTCCATGAGCTACAACGATAGTATTTTTATTACTGAAAATATAGATAAATGAAATAAAATTTGCAGGCCTATCAGACCTACATGTCTCAAAAATTAATTCCTGCTGCTTTTATATCTATTTTCCTCCCTCATAAATGATGGGCACAGGCTAACGCATAATTTACATCAGACATAATTATTTTCATTGCATCTTATTTCATAGGGAGAAATAATAGCGGCAGATTCAATAAAGGTTTTTATAGAAAAAATTTTAAAAAAAAATGCAAATTTTTAAAATAAACTAACTATTTAGGATAAATTTCTTCCGTCGATGGTTTGATTTTTCTTGTGTCTTCTACCGAAAATGACAAGATTGTTGATACCAACGTGAAAGTTGCGACCGCGTTTTAGGCGCCTTTTAGCCCAACCCCTTAGGCCTCAGGGCGGGGGGGGGGACCATGAAATTCACAATTTTTGTTCCCCTTTACCCATTGATGCTAAGTGCTATCATTCGTTAAAAATCAGCGGTTCCAGAAAAGAAGTTGAAAATGTTTAAATGCTAACGGACTACTGACGACGCACGCCGACGGACAAAACAGATAGAAATAGGTCACCTGGGTGACTCAATACGGATGATTTATCTTTTTCGTAAATAGACCTTGTAAGGACCGCCTTTCCAATTTGAAAATGGTTAATTTGCATTCGTATGACCTACGTATTGTTAAAAAAAGCAATATCATGAATTGTCAACTGTTAATCATTGAAAATTCTACCCATTTAAATATGACCGAGGCTTGAAGCCAAAACAAAGTGAACAGGGCTTGCATGTTTCACTATCAAAATTTAAAGAAATGAAATTTCGAAATCATACAGGATCTTATGAATATTAATTAGAAGTACTTCACGTGGAATAGATCTCATAAACAAATTGTTCACCATTTCTCCTCATGTACCTTTTTTTCCCCTATTATATCCCATTCCTTTTTCAAATTATCACCATAGCTCAGATAAAGAATTTATCATTCTGGTAAGCCGTAAGTTTTATACTCACAATACGTATATATTTAAAATACAATATATATAATAATACAATACATATAATAATACAATACATATACATGTAATAATACAATGTATATAATAGAATATACAAGTTACAAGCCACCATCTCTTTTTAAATCATTTTTTTCCATAAAATTACTGAATCAATTATTATGAATACTCACTTCCCCTATAGATTATGTTAACGACATCCTCTACCCCGTGTGTCATTCTACGCTTTGTCTTTGTTTCATACTGGTATATAAGAGGTCTCCTGGCCTGTAGGTCTCGACTATAGTTTTGGTCTTTTGCAAATCCTTCGTCCGCCCAATCCTTGCAGAAAACACTTAGCAAGAGTGCCTCAGCTAAAAATATAAACGTAAATGAAAGATTTTTAATCATAAAACCTATTACATGTATCTAAATTAATCATTTTAATCTTAGTATGAGGTTGTTGGTGGTGGAGATAGGAAGTGAGGGTGAGTGGCTTGAGACTTTGATCCTTTCAATTTTTTGCCATTTTGTCATATAAGTAAATGAATCAGTATTTAAATTACGCACTTGTTTCTATACTGTAGTTGCAAGATCCACCGTATGGTGGAAAGTTTGTTGCAAACTCGGCGAAAACTTCTGCTGCACCTTCTCCGTCCGAATAACTAGCATTCAAAGTCAGCAGATACAGTACACCTGGAACCAAGAATCCTCGAGGAATTGACAATGCCTGAATATTTGTACCTGTAAAGATATAATTAAGTCAGAAAATGAAGAAGTTGCAAGGATATAAATAAATGAAATGTGTGTTTGCAGACAAAAAGGGGCTCTCACAGGTCAAACATCATTATGATCATTTCATCATTATTTCTTTGTGCATTCGTTTTTCATTTCTCTCTCTCTCAATCTGTGTGTGTGTGTGTGTGTGTGTGTGTGTGTGTGTGTGTGTGTGTGTGTGTTGCATATTTTTATACCAAGTCTTCATTACATGTAAGTAAAATGTATTATAAAGTTTTGTCAATTAATAAGATTTGTAGATCAAGTATGCTATCTAAAAATAGTACATTCTTATGAAATAAGTAATACAAATTACATATAATCCCATGTTATAATATCAAAATAACTTACAATCGCAAGATTTCAAAATTGATTCTAATCGTTTATTCATTCGGTAGTTAATTGAAGAAAACAATTTTACACCTGTAGTTGTGTTTTCGGAAAATCCTTCGACCAGTTCATAGGGAAGTGATTGTGTTTGCTTCATCAAAAGTGTCCATTCATAGTTCAGTGTTGCATTTTCGACCTCACAGCTTTTACACCATGCCAAAAATGATACTTTTGTAGTTACTGTAACCTTTGGGCCACAGTTCAAACTACAACTGTTTTAAAAAGACAAAAATTAAGTCACACTATTAATCGATGATTTGTTAACTCTGTATTCATTTTTATACTGTAGAGAACATACTTTATTGCCATTTCTGGGGAGATGCTATTGACAGATATAATCTGTGTGAATTCATCTTGAGTGGAGTTCTCAAACACCGTAACGGTGACAGCAAATTCTGCGTCAACATATCCATCTAGAGATAACTTGGCTATACCACGTGCGTAATCGTGTAATGGGCAGGCACTATCAAGGTACGACGCAATAGCTGTGGTTCCATTATACACATCATCGCTTTGCAAAACTTGAGCTTTAACTGCATTGTTTCTTTAACAGAAAAAAATGATTTTAATCATGTAAGATATGTAAAATATTAAACATGTAAGATATGTAAAATATTAAACAAAATTGATTCGAAATGAAATAGGTCTTAGAATAGAGGACTGACTTATTCACATCGTGTATAGATTTACATGTATATTTTTACTAGTAAACGACATCAGAAATAAATAAGCTTGAAGGTTTCGTTCAATAAACATATCTAACTCACTCTTGGCATGTCCAGCTGAAGCCTAATCCAGTTGTGTTTCCATAACCACTGTTAGCGATGTGAGATTTTTCTAATGCATCTAACAGAACAAAACTGCTAGGTCTGATAGTTGTTTTACTACCACCTATTATATAGGCAAACGGTTCCGGTTTCAAAAACCGAATATACATATATTCGAATATGAATGTTGTTGTGAGATTAACAGTTAAGTTCAAAAAGTATAAACCAGGCTCCAGAGCCCCTGCCTCTAAAAATAGTATTCCATTATTAGATTTCTCATAAAGAATATAATGATTTATATCGATGGCACCAGATTCATTGACTCTAAGTACTTTCCACTGAAAAACTGGCTTTCCTATAATACATGCTGACTCTGATGAAATTCCCATTCTATTTGATATATAGAGGTTTTCAGACGTCCACACTGGCATCGGCCATTCTATCATGGAATATTGTCGGTCAAAAATTCCTTTCACTTCAAAACACAAATTGCTTACTTTTACTTGCTTCTTCCAATTTCTGGAAGATATGGAGTTTTCGCAATTAATGTTCAACTCTGGGTAACCAATAGCGATATAAGTGTACTTGAAAATAAGTGGATTTATTGAGGTTATATTATACATTTGACTTTGCTGAGTTCGGTCAACTTCGTCCCCGGTTATGATTGTGCAAAACACATAAGGACGATAGCCATAGGTTCCACTGGGAATATCTATTTTGTATTCTACAGTACCAGGGGGAAGAGGTACGATTTCAGGAACATGTAATGTCAATTCGGTCTCAATACTTAAATCTGCAATTATCGGAACGTTCCAGTAAACAGTTTCCACAAGGCTTCCATTAGAACCTGTAACTCTGGGTAGGAAATATCCATATGTTAAATACTTCACATTAGACCATGCTGCAGTTGTATTTGTAACATTGTCAAAAACAAAGAACTCTTCTTGGTGGACTTCGGTTGTATCAGCATAAAATGTATACTGTGAATCTTCGCCAAGAAGACCTACTGCAGTTAAATTGAAAACAGTATCACGTAAGTCCCCTTTATCCGGACTAACTCTGAAATCTAAGGTCCCGGTTTGTAAATTAAAGTTTCGTGAATCAGAAGTGTTTGTATTATTATCTTTTATTTTCAATGTTATTTTGAAAGTGCCTCGATGTTCAAAGGTATGAGAATAGTACAGTTTGGTGGACTGGACACTTTCTGTAGGAGTATTGTCACCAAAATCCCAGTTCATGTCTACGTTTAATGGAAGCCTTGAACAACCAAGGAAATAAAAGGAAAACATAACATCCACAGGAATAGAAATAGGCTGATAGGGATGGCGGTTTTCATCAGATGGAGTTCGCTGTACTAATGTCATGTTCATATTGACTGGACTGCTATAAAATATTTTAATATCCTGTAAATCATACTCCAAAACATTTATTATAGATGACTGGAACACTGAACTAACAGAATTATGACAGTAGAAAGTGACATTCTTTAACCCAGGCTTTTTAAACACGTACTCTCTTATCAATGGGTTATTGTACGTTATGTGTACAGTAATATCGTTATGCCTTTCCTCATCAGCACCATAGTCAAAGTTACATTTTACGTTAGATGGTTCAGATGATTGCTTCGTTACATTTAAAGTAAATAACATCGAACCGTCTGGAAGAGGTATGGTGTCATTTTCAGGGGATAATGTTATAATATCTTGTATCAAGGGGTGTTCCACTAATATTTGGTAGGAAGAGGTCTTTTCATATAATGGATTCCATGCCTTTAATGTTACAGTAAACAGAGATGGGTAGTTGTAAGCCTTTGTCCAGTTTCCAAAGTCATACCTGCGGTATAAATCATCATCATCATTGGTTCTTTTGCCTCCACCGTCTCCATAATCGATAAGATATCTGAAGTTGGAATTTGGCACATTTATAAAATCAAAATGAACGTCCTCTCCAACTTTAGCAATTTTCGTAGAATTAAGTTCCACATAAATTTTATCCCAAATTTCAATGTTGGTAGATACATTCCCCGAACCGACATGAGACGTCATGTTTGCCATAATACGATATACTCCTTGAATGGGGTAAATATGCTCAAAATACATTCCATCAGACATCAAGATTGAATCCTCGGAGGAAATATTAAATGAGGTGGAATTTCCATCTCCAAAAGATAAATATACATTCACCATTCCTTGAGGCTGGAGGGCACTTTTTGATATTTTCAAAGAAATTGAAGCAACTTCATTTGTCTGTACTGTAGTATTTTTCTCAAAATAAAATCCGTTAACTTCAAAGAAATAGTAAAGTATTGTCCAGTTTTTAACAGATGAAACGGAATTGCTGGCTTCTACTGTAACATTTATTTCTCCAGTGCTTTCAACAGACTGGTCAAATTGATACGACCTAACGCCTGAACCGCTTGTATTTTGAATTGCAGTTACATTGCCACCAAAATCCCAAACAACTTGGAGTTTTGTTCCGTTTTTTAATTTTACCGAAACTGCTAATTTATTTCCAACTATGTTGTACAATTGACATTCAATCTGCAATTTAAAGATTCTAGATATCAGGGATTAGATATTATCTTATATTTAATATAGGAAATGAAAAAAAAATGCAGTACATTACAAGAAAATCAGAAATTATGTACAGGCAGTACTGCTAAAATCTGATCTTTGAAAACATACTTAAGTACCACAACTGATTGTTCAGTAATTAAGACTACATTATGAAATACGATTTGTGTGTTACCTCTATTCCTTCTGTTGGCTCCAACAGTTCAACACCCGTTGTGTAGTTAACAGAGTTTATGTGTGAGGTGATCTGTGCTGTTATTATATAATCCCCAAACATCTGATACATGTGGGAGAAAAGCAACCCAGGCTCGTTCAGACTTGCATTGTTTGAGTCCAGTTGAATTGTAGTTATATTACCATCTCCAAACATTAAAGAGATGCTTATATCACCCATTGGTTTTAGAGCGTCAGAATCTAACCAGATGCTTACATCAGTTTTATTGTAATTTGAAGCTGTTTGTGGATCACTCATTACAAATCCGTTGACACCATAATAGTAGAACACAACTGTTGAATTAGATTTGACGGAAACAGGACTAAGCGCCTGAACAGTGATGTTAATCTCACCACTTCCAGAAACATTATGAGTGACTATAAATTCTCTTGTCCCGTTTCCAAAGTGATATTCATCTACTTTTGATCTGTTTCCAAAGAACCAATGTGTTATAACCTCATGACCTCCGAAAAGGGTTGCTTTGATTTCTATTTCTTTGCTAACTTCTACATACTTCGGGCAGACAAACTGCAAGAAGTAATGGACATAAAAGTTTATATTAATTTATAAAAGATGTTCGTTAAAGAAATGGTTAATTGTTCTCATTTTTATCAATAATATCAATAAGTTAATTTCTCACCTCTATCCCATAAATCGGTTCAAGAATCTTTATTTCTGACGTTAAATTGATGGAATTTATTTCCGAAATTAATGTTATAAACACAGTGAAGTTTAAAGCCTCTGTGTAGGGATGCTTTAGATGAAGTCCTGTTGCAATCAAGGAGGAATCACTTCCATTCACCACACTTATGTTTTTGTGCCCATCACCGAAGTCTGTGATAACTGTAATTAATCCCATAGGCAAGTCAGCGGTTTCCTCCAAAATTACATTAATTTCGGCTTCTTCCAAAGTTGAATGAATCCCATGAGATACATTAAATCCATTAAGGGCATATAGATAAAACACCGTTGTACTGTTGGTTGCCTGTGATACGTCATTAAAAGCATTAACAGTTACCGTTACAGGACCAATATCTGTGACATTGTAACGAACTTTAAAATATCTCGTTCCGTTTCCATCATGGAAGATTTGAGTAGGTAATGTTGTCCCTATAGTCCACTCTGTGGCTGTACGCATTCCTCCAAATAATGTTGCAGATATGATCAGCTCCTGTCCGACCTCTAAATATCTTTCACATTCAAACTGAAACAAAAAAAAAAAAAAAAAAAAAAAATCAAAAATTTGTAAGTTGCATTTACAATTAAGGTCGTGTGTTTCATATATTAATCATTATAGAGTGAACACCTATTTAAATTTACAGTTTAAGTTTTGTATAGAAAAAGGTCTCACTCCAATTCCAAAAATTGGCTCTATAACTTCAACTTCAGCAGTTATGTTGACGACTCCCAACGGAGAAGTTAGCATTGCAGTCACAGTGTAATTTCCAACGCATTCATACAGGTGAGTGATAAGGTGATTAAGGTTTATTAAAGTTGTTGAAAGTAGAGCAAAATTTGTAGTGTTTGTGGTTCCATCACCAAAATCAATTAATACATCAATATTTCCTTGTGGTACCTCTGCTTGAGGAAGCGTTTTAAAGTACATTTTAGCATCGTTTTCTGTAGAAGCTACGGTGGAAGTCAGATATATGTTATTTATATGGTGATAGCAATGCGTCGTATACTTATAGCTTTTTTCTGACACTAGATTGGTTGCCTTCACTGTTATGTCTATGGCACCCTTTTCAGAAATTATCTTTGTGAAGTTGAAATATCGATCTCCTGTACCCTCATGAAATATAACGTGTGTTAAACTGGTTCCTATCTGCCATGTTGTTGTTGTGTTGAAGCCTTTGGACAAATTTGCTTGAATAACAAGCTCTTCACCAACCTCATGAAAAAGTTTAGTCCAAAACTAAAAGAATTAAATGGATGGAATTAATACTTAGATAAATAATATAGCTAATAAAAACAAATAAAAGGTATTTCTCCGTAAATTAATTTCAAATGATTATAAAGTACGTATTATAATAGTCAGCTCGATGATGTTCATATAATCATATTAATCAAAATATTTTATTTAAAGTTTTAAAATATATATATTTTTATTATCTTTTTATTTTATTGATTTATTTTCACTTGTTTATTTTTTTGTGAAAAATGGGGGAAAATGTTTTAAATTCGTATCAAAAACTTTCAAATGAGAAAATGTATATAATATAGAACAGATGTTAAAACAAGGAAATAGGCATTTCAAGATAACTTACTTCAATGTTACGAATTGGTTCAACAATTTTGACTACGGAAGTCAAATTGATGGTATCTACCGGGGACAAAAGCGTAACAGTTAATATATAAAACGCTTCACTATGATATCTTTTAGGAAACAGCTTCCCAGGATTCTTCAAAACCCGATCTGTAGAGGAAAAAGTTCCGGAAGCGGAATAGCCGTCACCGTACTGGATTTCGTAAGTTATCGTGCCTTGTGGTAATCGACTTCCTGAAGCCAATTTCAGCATAATTTTTGCGTCTTCGTAAATTGTTCCAGGTGCACAGTAAATACTAAAACCTTCTAGTTTATAATAATAATAGATTGTTAATGAAGTAATAAAATAAGAAACTGGGTTACTAGCATTGACCCTAATCACAAGTTTTCCTGTTTCGCTATATCGACGACTATCAAAAATTTCTCGCCGCCCCTTTCCTGCATGAGTTAGGGAATACTTAGGTCTTCCATTGACGTACCACTTGGTCTCTATATTAAAACCGTAGTTTATTGTTATATTAAACTTGACACTTTGTCCAACTATGTAGTTTTCAGAAGAGGACAACACCTATAAAAAGGCATCAAAATACAACTAACATGTGTATAACATCAATATAAGGGATTCCACACTTCTAGATAATTCACTTCTATGGGAATCTAAAATTACAAAAATATACTGGTTAAACAATAATTTTTTCCTTCATAATATTACTTATCAAAAGAAAAGTGGCTTTAAAATATGCAAGGAGGATTTTAAAATTGTATTGATACACGTTGAATTTTATAATGAAAACATCTTTTTTTTTTTCTTAATTCGGTAACTTCACTCTATGCACAAAACATTGCTAGTAACAGCATATAAAATCTCCCACTGAGCGATAATTCTTGCATATTTCAAAGACTTCATGGTAGACAATTGTTAAACTGCAGAAAACTACAAAGTTATCTCTATAAGATGTACATATATATCAAGATTTAAAAGGACATGAAAAAATCGCAATACTCTGGGTAATCACAACAATAGGAAATTGGGTAGGGGAAAATTAAGCTTAAGATGGAGTTTTGTTAGAATCTTAACAAATATTGAATAAACAAATATTCTTTTTCTGGATATTAAAATAACATGAAAAACATCCTTGTTCTTTTTTAATTAAACGGCATTATTATTTTAAACAGATAGTTTTTATGGATAATCAAATTCCTTAAATGAACAATGTAAAGCTTGGTTTGTAATTCTAAATCTTATGTGTAAAATTTAATGTGTAAATCATTTATCACAATTTGTTCATACGTGTATCAGTTTTTGAACTTTACAGATCTTGTGAAATACAAAGGAAAGTAATTTTTTTAAAATATGAATTACATTTTCAATATTTGCTTTTTATGCAACATTAGCTTTTATGGCAAATTGGTAGCGTGGGTGTAGCGTTTCTTTCTTTCTTTCTTATTTTTTTTAAATTTTTTTTTTATTATTTTTTTTTATCGTTTTTTGTCTGTTTCTTAAACAATGTACGAAAAAAAAAAGTCACACTCGTACAAGAAAGAAAGTTGAAAAAATTAGCTTACAATCTGTTGATGTGTTCCTTTTAACATTGTTCACTAATATACTGAAAAATCTCTTTCAAGTTTTTGAAGTACCTGTTCGAGATTTAAATCCAGTGCATCACTAATCTTAATGATAAGGACCTTTAAGAAATATTTAAGTTTTCTCTCATTATCATGTTTAATAATGCAATAATAACTCGATACTATGTAAATTTGAAGAACATGAAACTTCATATCACGTGACAAGACTCCATCTTCAATCAAAGCTAGGCATACACATACACTGTAATCAAGCAAATAAAACTGATAATCAGTCAACTGACATGTTTGGTTTCAAAAGCTATTTGGTTTCGTTTTTAATAATTTTATCACAGCTACAATCAAATAACGAAACACCGATACCAAACACTTACCGAAATGTTGTGAATTGGTTCGATTATGTCAACTGTAGTGGGGAGGGACTTGAAGTCGACCTTGGACGTAATATTTACTATCACATTGAATTGTCCCTCTGTTGAATATCGATGCGAGAAGAGATATCCTGGGTCCAGGAAAGAAGCATCGCCAGCATTAAATTCTTGAGATGTTGAGTTTCCATCTCCATACAGAACAGAAATTAAAATGTTTCCTTGTGGGAGATTCGCGGTGTTTGCTCTTTTTATTATTATGCTTGCATCTTTGTAAATGGTTGATGGATGACTTATAAGAGTAAATCCATTTATGGCATAAAAGTGATAGAAGATAAGAGAACTTGATGACTCGGAAACAGCGTTTGAGGCGAGTGCGGTGAGATTTACATTACCAGCAGAGGGAGGACTTAGATCCACTGAAAATGTCCTTATACCTTTTCCAGCATGAAATGTGGTTGTAAAAGCTTGGGATTCATCATTTACAAACCATTTTATGTTCACGTTGTAGCCATTTGTCAGATTGACAGTGATTGTGACTGGAATTCCATACGTCTGGTAAGTGTCGCACGATATCTGTAGAAAGTTCAATAACAGTTTTTTTTAAAAGTATTCTGTTTTTCGTCAAAAAATAACCTTTCTGTTTTTGTTACTTCAACGTGCTTGCATAATAACAGTCAAAAAGTAAAAATACTGATAACGGTCATTTGATAACGGTCGGATCGTTAATATTTTGACGTTTGTAAATAATTATCCTCCTCATAATGATCACATCATACAACATTTTATTATGCAATCTATATCAAATTTCGATAAAATGTAAGTAAATGATATTTACTTACCTGAATGTCTGTTATTGGTTCCATTACCTGCACCATTGAACTGTACGTCTGTACGTCAACAGGTGACGTCAAATGTGCTTGGACCGTATAGTTGTTCTCTCCATCGTACTGATGGGTAAAATTTACTCCTGACGTTTTAAAACTTTCATTTACCCAAGAAATTTCTTTAATTTGCAATGGGGTCGAATCACCGAAATTTAATTTTATTGATAATGGGCCCTGTGGTATCAAAGCCTCATTTGTCAGTTTAAGCATTATAATTGCATCCTTATGCAGGACAGTTTCGTCCCCAGACAGTGTAACTCCATTGATACCGTGAATATTTGTAAATGTCAAACTGTGGTTTGCCTGCGAAACAGGATTGGACGCCACAGTCGCCACATGAACAACTCCCTCTTCATTTATTGTACGATGTACAACATAAGACCCTTGGCTTTCATAAATCGTTTGAAAACTGAAATCAGTGTTCAAATACCACTTTAACATTATATTAGAACCTGACGGTATCGTTGCGTTGAATTTTACGGCCACTCCGATTTTCTGGTATGACGAACAATCAATCTATCAAAAAATATATTTTTATTAAAAAAAAAATAGCTATGGATCTTTGGTATAATCATAAGTCTGATGGTAATGTACATGAAGTTGAAATATTACATTCTCACCTGAATTGAAGTTATTGGGTTATAAACTCCAACAGATTCAGTGTAGGTTTTAGAGTCTACAGGGGATACTATTTTCACGGAAACAGAGTAAGACCCAATGGAAGAATAACGATGATAAAGAATTAAGTTAGAAGGTGCTGATAAATTATGTATGTCGAACGTTCCGTCTCCGTAGGATATGTTCAGCGAAAGTGATCCCTGTGGAACTAGGACTCCTTGATCAACATTCACGTACACAGTAGAGTCACTGTTTGGTGTTCCTGGTGTGGTGGTGATAGAAAATCCATTGATAGGATAATAGTTGTAAACTATTACCGTATCGACTTCCGTTGAGACAGCGTTGGAAGCGTTGACTGTGATGTTCACTCGCCCAGCTTGTGATAGTGTAAGAAAATTTTGAAATTGTCGTGTACCATTTCCATTATCTGTTTTGGTATCTTTTTGGACATCATTTACATACCATACCATGTTTATGTTAGAGCCTGAATGCAACCCAATCGTTATATCTGCTGCTACCTCAAACTTTTGGAATGTATTACAAGCGACCTAAAATATATATAGCTAAAATATTTGACAACCTATATATTGCAAAAGCCTTTAGATTTAGATTTTTTCTTTATTTTACAGTGAAGATTGATTTTCACTTGTTTAGAATTTGCAATTGTTATAGATGAAATCAAACCTTTAAATTTTCAATAGGCTCTTCGTAGTACACTGCTATATTCCTCTGTTTCTTGTCTGCCGAGGATGTATAGAGGAAAAATCGGCATTCATAACTTCCAAAACTCATTCCATCGAACACTGTTGATGCTAATGTAAATGTTATAATTTTTGTGTTGTTGTTAATAACTGCTGTAGAAGTATCAATTGTTGTAGAAGATACAATTTTTGCACCAAAGTTGGGCGTTGTGTAATTTGATGACGTATTAGTCGATACAGTGTTAAAACTAAACTGAAGTTGAAGGTTAGTTCCAGGTTTAAGTTGATAAGGCGAACCATTGGATATCAAAGAGAAGGAGATAACCTCAAGACCTACAAACAACAAAACCTTGTCAAATTTTCCATTTACATTACTTAAAAAACACATGACGAAATATCTCAAAATAAATGCAGTGAAAAGACAGCTGCTGATTCTTTTAAAAATCTTCTTCTGAAGAACAGCACAGCCATATTTAGGGACTAGGCAAAATTTATCACAATGATGGGACCAGTACAAACAGGTATGGGACAATGATTATTTTTATCGAAGAAAACCATGGGACAAAAACTTTTTTTAGCATTAAGTAACAATGGGACACAAACTTTTTTTAAACGAGTTACAGTACTTAACTCAAGAGACACATTTATTATATTTAAAAATATTTCATTTTTTTCAACAACAACAACAACAAAAAAAAAAAAAAAAAAAAAAAAGAAACAACAACAAAAAACTAACGTCATATCTTTTAAAGTCAAACAAGGATACAAATTACAACATAAATCTTCAATGCAATGGAAAAATTAACAATTGAAAGTAACAATGTTAATAAGAAATATGAATGTAATGAACAAACAAATTATTTCAATAAACTCATGCATTCAAAATGTAGTACCAACAAATTCTAGAGCATCATCAGAATCAATCATGTACTTTACACACGAATTCAGAAAACTTTCATCATTTAATCAATCCAAAAAAACTTTCTTCAATGTTTGAAATATCTGCAATCTGAAAGACTCCTTCAGTATTTAATTGTAACAATGCACTTTTGTTATTTTTTGTTCCAATAATCTCATGAACATCAAGATATAACCACGAGACAGTAGCATTTTTACAAGTATAAAGGCATGGGACAAATATTTTTTAAAAATAAGAATGCCATGAGACCTGTAATTTTATTTAATGAGAATTTTGTTTTGTACCGGTCCCATCATTGTGATAAATTTTGCCTGGTCCCTTAGTCATATTGATATGGATTATGGAAGCACTCTCAGGTAGTTTAGATACAAGGTTGTTCAAATCATCACCCCGGGGTAGGGTGGGGCCACAATGGGGGATCAAAGATTTACATAAGAATATATAAGAAAAAAACTTTGAAAATCTTCTAAATGAGAAAAGCAAAGCCATGATGAGTCATTTTGAAATGGAAGGATCCTCAGGTAGTGTAGATTCAAGTCTGTTCAAATCATAATACCCTCGGGGTAGAATGGGGTCACAATGGGGGATCAATGGGGAATATATATGGAAAAATTTTCTTCTCAAGAACAGAAAAGCCCTGATCAGTCATTTTGAAATGGAAGCATCCTCAGGTAGTGTAGATTTAAGTTTGTTCAAATCATAACAACTTGGGAGTAGGGTGAGGTCACAATGGGGATCAAAGTTTTCCATAAGAATACATGTATATAGGAGAAAAATTTCTTCTGAAGAACAGAAAAGACATGATTAGTCATATTTATATGGAAACATCCTCTAGTATAGAATCAAGTTTGTTCAAATCATGAACCCCGGGGGTAGGGAGGGGCCACAATGAAGGATCAAATTTTTCCAAAGGAAGATGTTGGGAAAAATCTTTAAAAATTTTCTGCTCAAGAACAACAAAGCCATTTGTTATATTGATAAGGAAGTATTTGCAGGTAGTTTAAAATTCCACCCGCCATGAAAACTTTTCAATACTGAACTGATTTGTGTTTTTTCCTACCAATGTGCTCAGGTGAGCGATGTGGCCCATGGGCCTCTTGTTTTTCTTTTAATTATTGAAGTATTTTTTAAATCTTATAACTTAAGATTTTTAATATTTGCAAGTTTGATGAGCCCTTTTGGTTACACTGTCTGTAAGTTGAGACCTCAAAAGACTGACCACAGAAAGAATACGATTGCAGGGAATTTATTTCACGGAGTTTCAGACAAAAATACAACTTTATGTGGAAAAAATCAAGATGGGGCGATATATACCTTGTGAACTATTAGGTATGGGGTATTTTTTTTTTTATTAAAAGAAAAATAAGTAACGTCAGGTACCTGTATATTAAACATATTAGATTTTTTAAAAAAATAATGATAATTAGATTTTTGACAGTAAGTATAGTGTTACTGCAGCATTTGGATGCTAAAATGTACAAGAAAGGATTAAGGGAGATATCATTTTATATTCCCTAGACTATTTGTATGCATGGCGAGAGGAAGAACATAAAAAGTGTCCTTTTTTGCCTTTATCCCTATAAGGTCATTCAGAACTATCGTATGCTCCCACCACATTTTTTATACGTATAAAATATGTTTGAGGAAAAAGTATTTTTTAAGAAATACAAACCGACATGCATTTTCAACACTCGAGTCTTGTCTGTCCCAAACAAAAATTTACTATACATGTAGTTAACTATAGTTTACTATAGTTGACTTTAGTGAAAACTTTGATACTTTGATTTACTATGAAACAGGAACTTTTTTGAGATTTCAAAGCTTAAAATCTCTAAAATTCGACAACAGTAATGTAAAATTTGAAAATAATGTGTGAATATACAATTAATATTTCAATTTAATATGAAAAATGTACAGGTTTGAATTGAAGAGCAAAAATATAACGATCTGAAATCCATAGTAAAAATATTTAAATTTACTATAATGAAAAAACTTTGATACTATAGTTAACTATAGTAAACTATAGTTAACTATAGTTAACTATAGTACTTTTTTGTTAGGGGTAATCTGGTAAAGGCGCATGGAGCCACATCTACGGCGCCATTGAAGTAGTTAAATTTCTAGTACATGATATTCAATACTTGATCAAATAACTCATACGAAGAACTATTTGAATATTAATTATTCAAATACTTAATAAAGGCTTAAGCTACTCCTAATTAGAAATAATTAGCTGGTCAAAATGTTACAAATAGTTCCATACATTCGATGTCCCGAGTTGTGGACGGCTTCTTCGCGTTCCTTGCTACTTGTAGACAATTTTCCCTAATTATTTCTTTCTGATATAAGTTAATGTATGAGAGATTGAAGGTCCATTACAAAAGGAATATCGTCAGTATAATAGTTTCCACTATCCTTACTGTATATTAATTTCATTAACACTAAATCTATCCCTTGTACTTATTCTTGCGATTCAAAGATTGACACCTATACATGACGTTTCAGTTCAACGTGATCGCTATCTAATTTAATAATGGAGATTTTTCCTGCGAGGACTCTAATTTACTGGGATTTGATCACCTATTTACGACTGTTTTCAGTCTAATTAATCTATAAAACGATAATAATATCTACCAAGAATATAATTGTATTTAATTTTTAAGAAATTTGATGGTGATTAAAAACTTTAATGTTAGCTGAAATATCAAAGAAAATTGTGTTAGAATTGAAATTGAATTGAAATTTAATTTTTCACTTTCTAATTTGTCCCGGATTGTTTACCAATCTCTGAGAAGTAAAATTTAATAGCATATTGCGATTCTAATAAGTTTTACTGAGGTTAAATGATAAAAGCGCAGCTTCCCTCTCCCCTTTGATGTAAAATAATTTTTCCAAAATGCAATAAAGTATAAGCACTTTTGAAAAATTTACTTTACATCAAAACTTGTCATTATAATTCGTCAATGTCCATTATTATCACATTTAACCATAGAAAATAACCATGTTCTTGTTTTAAAAATATCCTGAAAATTATCTGTACTGTACATGATAAATGTTAGCCTATTTGTGTGAGATAGAATGTTATAAAAACATTTTTACAACGATCTGTTATGCGTAACTTCTGGTAGATACCTGTAATTTTTTGTCTTGCTCAATAAATTTGCATAGACTTTCTCCTTGTCTTTAATTAATTCATTGAAAAATATATCTTAAAGAGGCATGTGTAACGATTTTCATATAGAATTTGAAACGGTAATGAAAAATACACAAAATATCCCATAACCTCGTGGACGAAGAATCTTATTTCGACAAACTCAGGTAAAAGTACATGTACTTTTCTAGCTAACCTGCTAACCTGAGCTCTTATTTGTCGGACGGTAGGTATTTTTCTTGGCTTGATCTCTCATCTATTTGAAGTAAAATTAATTAAATGTTGCAGTTCTTAAAAGTTGTGGCACTGAGGTTAAATGATAACTGTGTCCCTTTAGTTGCTCCACAGATATATAGGCAATACGCAATACTTCATTATTGACGTTTAACTGATCGTTTTAATATATTTAAAGAAAGCGTTTCAACCTCAGCAGCAAATGTGTATTCATATATCTGAGCAACGCTTAAGTTTACTTATTATCCGTGCGTGTAAGATATAACCAAATTTTAAAGGTTAGAATAGATTAAATGATATTATTTTATTTCTGAAAAAATGAATTAAAAATTAGTAATGTAAAATTCGACAAAAAATGGACGGGAAGTAGACATATGCCTTATGATAAATACAGTAACAAGAGGCCCAAGAGCCTTGAATCGCTCTTCTGATAAATTATACAACCAGTATCACTTCTATTTGAAGCGTTTAAGTATCCTGTATATTTAAATAAAGCCTTGAAATCCCAAAAGTAGGTCATCATGACCTACATTTTAGGTAAAACACTCTTAGAACTCAATTGATTCTAAGGCAATTAGTACCTGAGAGTAGGTCTTATCAATTGTCATTCTTCGAGGACCCAAGATGCATTAACTAACTAAGTTTGATAATTCTAAGCCAAATAGTACCTGAAATATTTATATAAAGCCATAAAATTTCAAAGGTAGGTCATGTTGACCTAGCGCTACTTTTCAATTGACATACTCCGAGGACCCAAGTTGCAACAACTAACAAAGTTTGATGATTCTAAGCCAATTTTTACCCGAAATATTTAATTATAACCATAAAATTTCAAAAGTAGGTCACAGTGACCTACTTTTCAGTTGACAAACTTTGAGGACCCAAGATGCATCAACTGACAAAATTTGATAATTCTAAGCCAATTAGTACCTGAAAAACTATTTCATCAGGTCACATTGACCTACTTTTCAGTCGACGTACTCCAAGCAACCAAGATGCATCAACCAACAAAGTTTGATGACTCTTAGC